TAGAAGATAAAATAACGTCATTATTCACACTTAAATGGATTACAGTAAGTTGGCATATCTTAACCGCCATACATATTTCTCCATGAGGCTAAACATATTATAATATGTAACTCGAGGTTTCTGCTCTGCGGATCACAGGTCTCCGGTGATGGCCACCACAGCTACGTTTTCTCCGGGGTTCAAGCATAACCCATCGATTTGTATTTTGGTGTTCTGCGATATACGTCCAGTTTAACAACTTTTGACCTGGGTACTGAAATATCAACTTGTTTTACTTATATTAGGAGTGTAAAGTAGGTATTTGTGGATACATTTAAAGTAGGAATAATCCGTTATATTCAAATAGGGCGTGGTGGTGGTGTAGTGGCTGGGTACGACTCCCAGCCAGCCAGACATACCGCTGACGGCTGACCTCCACTTACTCCTGTCAAGTTATCCCGCCAAATTTGAATGTTTTTTTTTCCTGGGAAAACTCCACAGATTCTTTGCATTGATTTTTAGAAATTATATGCTAGATAAAGAATAATTAATTCATCTAAAGTTGTATGGTACCAAAATTCTTCATTGCAACTTCTGTTACTACATTGGGAACCGTGTTCTTGATATCTATCACAACATACTATCACACCCACAATTGGTGAATTATGATTTATTATTGTACTGTATATACCACCAAGATCATTCAGGACTATACTGTATTTCACAGCAACTATTTGTTAACAGCACAACATCTTTGTTATTGTTGTTATCTACTAACAATGTACCAGTGTGTGGTACAGACTGTAGTCATGTGACCTGCAGTAGTGGCTGGTAAACAAGACAAAGAAGTACAGTACATACAAATTTCATTGCCATTTATATATATATACACACACACACACATATATATATATATATATATATATATATATATATATATATATATATATATATATATATATATATATATATATATACTAGCAGAAACGCCGCCCTCCGGGCGGCTCATTGGCTAGGCCACGGTAGAATGCCACCCTCCGGGAGGCTCCACATTGTCTCACTGTTCAGTCCCCAAAACTTATTCTTCCATCAATAGTTCATTAGCGGTATACGTAAGTTCCACCATGTTTTTCACTACAATGGTACAGCAAAGTATATTTTTTTAGCATTAAACTGTTATTATTTTATTGTCTAATCATCACTACATATAACACCACCCATCATCACTACATATGACACCATCCATCATCACTACATATAACACCATCCATCATCACTACATATAACACCAACCATCATCACTACATATAACACCACCCATTATCACTACATATAACACCATCCATCATCACTGCAGATCGGTAAAGTAGTTTCCGATATTCTCGTGCGGACACACAGACATACTTCTTTGTTTTTGATATATATATATATATATATATATATATATATATATATATATATATATATATATATATATATATATATATATATATATATATATATATACTATACGTTTTATGAAAGTTTGTTATAAAATATATTTATAAAGTGTTGATAGCGATAATAGTTCACATCAAAGTACAGTACTGTGCATGACTGAAAGCAATTTCTGTGAGGTATGAAACAAAGGACATGTACATGTAACGCAACATATACACTCAGAGCTGTACTTGATCTATGTCACTTCTGCACGCATACAGTATATGAAGTAACTAACGCATTTACGCACTTAAGATCTTTCAGAGCGAGGCAAATGATATGGGGAGAGTCTGTGGCGTTAGTTTGAGGGGTGCTGACATGAGCCGTTACTACGTTAGTATGCTAGATTGGGTTTCTCAGTGCACTGCACGTTGTCTAAAAGTATAGACAACAACCATTCACCTGTATTTGTAAATTTTGTGAATATAATGTTCAGGAGTGTTTAGGTTAGGTTAAGCAATATTATTAGTCTTATTGATCTGTATTTGTCTAGGTTTTGTGTTGTGTTCTCTCTCTCATGGTTCATCTGCATGTCCCCATCAGGTAAACCACACATGTTGTTTAACCTCACCTCACCTCAACAAAGATCAAGTAATTCTTTCACTATAACAGTACCATTCACCTGTCAGTCTATCTGTCTGTCTCGTGTGTATTTGATCAGCCTATACCTCGACATTTCCCTAAAAAATTAGGACCCGGATTCTCCAAATTTATACCCTAAGATATCCCTCTACGCTGGAGAAAAAGGAACAAGGCAGGATATGCCTAAGTGGAAACGCCTTTTCATTTTAGTCACTGTCTGTGTTGTGTCTTAATTTATCCAGTTATCAGGTATTTTTATATTCGTGTCAATATGAATGCTATGTCACGCTTTGTATACCCTCTAGAACACCTTTCCTGTCATCAGTTGATAAAAAAAATTACCTATTTTAAACCAAGAAAGATTTTAGTGCATGTCATAACAGAATTCTCACGAGACAACTTCTACATAATCGGTCCTCCAAGATCTAACAGCGATGTAGATAAGATATTTAGCAAATAATTAATATCCAGGGTGAAATATGAAGTGATGAGGGATGACGGTAACACTAGTGTTAGTGGAGCGCTACCCAATTATACCTAATCCACATACTAATGACCAACACACACTACACATCACCAATTTGCTCGTTGTGTTACCTCCTCCCGTGTAATTTTATATTTTCAAAATAAATAGCAGAGAACCGGTCAATACATATTTTGTATAATCAGCTTAAGTAACGATAAAATTAGTAGCAAGTATTGGACGGGTAAATTTATCCCCACAAAATGCCACCCCGGGGCAAGCAAGCACACCCAGCCATCACAGTTCTGCGTAGATGGCATCCCGGTCGGTCTGATATTTACACCAATACGCCAGCGTCATTTGTAGGTCAAATGAGCCAAGAACGGCGGCCGTCTGCAGGTCTAGCTCACCTCTACCACAGCTATTGATTTGATTGAACCTGTTGGCCATTCTCTGCCTGGGTGCCGTAGCCGAGCTGACACCGAGACAGCTGACACACACTTTACCTCATCGGTTGACATTTAACATTAAGTTTATGTTTTCATTATATAACTGAGATATTATTGCATTAGTCGTGTATGGGAATATGTAGCAGGTAGGAGTTTGTTTCTACAACTTTATTCATATAATCCCCTAAATATATTCTTCACTTCACCTTCCCACATTTACTGTAAGGGTTCATAAGGCGAGATGATCAATTGTCAGTCGGGATTGTTACATTAGTGTGTGAAATAATAATTTTGAGAATAAAGGCAAAGTTGTTTCTATAATAATCAAGGAACTAGGATATCCTAGCTCCTTTCCTGCACCAGAGACATTCACTGTCTCTTGTATTGCCAAGCGTTACAGTATCATGCAAGATCTGTCCGCGAGTTATGCACAGGTATCTTTTATCATATACAATCAACGAACAAGCTGAATTTTGTTTTTCATCTCGTCTACATACTGTAGCAGTAAAAAAGACAAATTACGATACGGGGTAATACAATATATATGTATGGACCCCTATACACTGGGACGGTCAAGTAGGCCTACACTAGTGCCACTCTCTGAAGTTAACTATTCGTGATGGGGAATATTTTATGAATGCTTCTAAATAACATCAATTTATTAAAATCTTACACTGAAGTATATATTGCAATAATATCTAGTTATATATATGATAATTTTGAGTGTATGGGGAGGGTGCCCTCACCATACAGTAGGTCTACACCCATTGATAACCTTTCATTAAGCCTCTACCTTATATTATGCATCACCTAAATTTATCTCAGTAATTAATTTTACAACTACCCATCTTTACAGTACTATATATTGCTTTTTAAATTAACTATCTTTTTATAATCAAAAGTAAGAATGTCATCTGCACCCGACCTCCTCTGCACCGTGCCATGCGAACTTGGCCCCTAAGTCACACGCCCCTTCTCAAAAAATTACCTCTAATACTAATCAACAGATAACTATATAAGTTTCTTTCATCTGGCATATGATGTAGCGATTTTTTTTCGATTTTCTGGTGTAAAGATAGTTAGGAGAAGTTAAACTTTTATAATGAAATTGAAAGGAAGCGGCTACGAAAAATTCTCTCTCAATTCAACCCTCACTCTCACGGGCTTACCAAGGGGAGACGCAGAAACAAGGCTATTTCACCCCTATTCCATAAATTTAAAGGCTCAAAGTTCACATGGCAACTTCATTGAGACATCTCTTCAGATTAAGCAACAAAAAATTGTATGGTGTGACAAATAAAGAGTACTTTATTTAGTAACATAGCCCGACACCTCTAATGGCTCTCTACCGACACACGTAGCTCTGAGTCAGACCTTGCTCGCCATAGGGACAAGATTTATTTGTAGAAAAAAACAGGTTTATCTTGTGCTCAGGGCAAATTTATATTCATTTTAAGGAGACATATACATACATCCTTCACAAACTCGATTATGAATACTCAATATCCTTTCTATAATGAAATATGAAGCAAAATATTACTGCGTTTTGGAGGTGATGTCGACATGGCGAGGAGCCAGGAGTTTGTGTTAGTTCCGTCAACTTTGATCGTTTTATGCTACAATATTCGTGTTTAAACACAAAGTTGATTCATATGATTTTAAAGAAGAATTATTAATCTTTAATTTGAAAATAATAAATAATTCTATGATAATGACTCAACGATGACATTTTATTCTTAGCAATGATAGGTGGTGTATTTGCCTCGCACTGCTCGAAGAAATATCCGAATAATTTCCATATACAAAATCGCACGTTAATTTTGAGAACACGAAAAGAAAGACTAATCAGTCTTCTTTATATATCCAAGTCTATAACAAATTATAGTGAGAATTATGGCGGTAAATGTATTAAGAAAGTAATCTTAACAAACACAGATGTCTTTGCGCAGCCCCTGAAACTCACCGAAAACGGGCGCGAGAATCATGATGCTACTTTTGCGTCCGCACTGGGGACATAATAATGTGGCATTGTACGGAAATGGTATCACTCACCCAGCTGATCGAGCCTACTCACACCAGCGTATAATTCCAGTTATCTATAATTTTGACGCAATGGCCGACGCTGCAGCATCTCCCGCCAAGAAGGCCGCTAAGAAGAGTGCCAAGAAAACTGCATCTCACCCCAAGTACTCTGCCATGATTGCAGCTGCCATCGCTGCGTTGAACGAACGTAGTGGTTCCTCCCGTCAGGCTATCCTGAAGTACATCGTCGCTACCTACAAGGTAGAGGAGAAGGTCGCCTCCACCCAGCTGAAGCTTGCCCTGAAGCGAGGTGTTACCTCTGGTGCCCTCAAGCAGGTCAAGGGGGCTGGTGCCTCCGGCTCCTTCAGAATCAACAAACCTGCTGTAGAAGATAAGCCCAAGAAGAAAGTCATCAAGAAGCCCGCTGCTAAGAAGGTCGTCAAGAAGCCCGTTGCTAAGAAGGTCGCCAAGAAGCCCGCAGCCAAGAAAGCCGCGAAAAAGCCCGCAGCCAAGAAGGCAGCTAAGAAACCTGCACCGAAGAAGGCAGCAAAGAAGCCCGCAGCCAAGAAGGCAGCAAAGAAGCCCGTGGCGAAGAAAGCGACAAAGAAGCCAGCTAAGAAGGCAGCAAAGAAGTAGACGTGTGTGTGCTGTGAACTTTAGTGTTAAGGTCATCCAAAGGTGAAATTTTATATTATAACTCCGTTGGAGTAATGTGTATAGTATATTAAGAATTTATTGTACCTGAAAATATACCCTTAGTGAGGGTAGGAGATCTCTTGTATATGAGAATGTTTATTAAATGTTCTTTTTTATGTGTTGTCTCCCTTACCCTTTATTACAATTGTCTTCTGCTAACATTAATCACTGAAGGTAAAGCAAGACGAGAGGAAAACTGATGTTCATGAAATAAGAACAAAAGTTTAAAAGTATGCCTGGTTAAATGACCAAGTGCTGTAAGTCATGAATGAATATGACGACTATAAATGGTAAAGGGAAAGTAAGCTAAAGTCTTGAGAATGAAAGGAAAGTTAGTCATAAATAAAAGGTAAAACTAAAAAGGATTTGGAAAAGTTAAATGAAATTGAAGTCTTAATGTGAATGGACAATAAAAGGAAAAAGATGCTAAAAATTATACTCTTACTGGTAAATATAACCAATGAAAACTGTCGATAAAAGGGAAAATAGATCAGTCAAAACGTTGCTCAGAAAACTGACTGAGAAAAGAAAGTAAAGGTCAATAAATTATGGTTGAATTTTAAAAACTGGAGAAAGAAACTTTACATTTTAAACTTTCCCGCCAAATCCCCATTGGAACTCATCGCCGGGTCAGTAATGAATATTTTAAACTGGTATATTGGTGAATATATTACCGTATATAAAACAGATATGTACATCCACTAAAAAATTATTCGGCACCCGCGTTATATTGTATCACTCCGAAAGGGTGCCGAATATTTTTTAGTGAGTGTACATGTTTATATAAATGCTCACGACCACACAGGTGTACACCCAATAAAAAAGTATTCGGCACCCTTACGGCGTGATAACGCGGGTGCCGAAATTTTTTTTAGTGGGTGTACATTATATTAGATACGTTGTTGAAGATATTTGAAATATAATACAAATGGGAATAAATTAGTGTAGTATTCTGTATACGTGAAAGTGTAAACACAACACTTACAGTTCAAGGTTATTTTTGTATATATTGTTTTGTTACAGATAATTATACGTCCTTTTTTTGCAAGTTCAAGAGTTTTAGTATAGAATAACTTGGGTAACCCTTGAGGTATTTATGAATTCTGTTACTGACAAGTCCAAAAAACTGTGGGCCAATTTTTTCGGAATGAGAATTATATGAACTCTTGGAACAAGCGGCTGACGACTCTATCAGTGAAGAAGATAAAAGTAAGTAACACTGGTAATAGGTAATAGGTTCAGGCGTTCAGAGTTCCCGCGTAAAGTTTACGTTTCTTTATAGTCATAATCTTTTTCTAGATTTTTAGTAAATGTGATATCACCTGTTGTATTATGATAATTAAATATAATTATAAATCAATATAATTATGTATCTATCAAATTATCTATATATTTATCTGAGTAGCCTTTATTATAGCCACGCTCCCTGACTTACATCAGCTGTTGTGTTTCTGGAAGGTCGAGAGCTGTGGATGTTGTCGTATTAAGGTGTTGTTCCGGTGCCTGGTCATAGTTCACCACAATAACTGTAAGAATGAAGTTTAGGTGATTAGCTTGAAGACTTTATGTAGTAACATAACAGTAATTCAGCGATTTGATACCCGTGTTACCTGGTCTCCCGTACATGGTTCCATGACAAAACCCCAACGGCGTTTTCATTTGTCAATACTAACCTAACCTAAACATAAAAGTGTTTTATTTTATATACGAGACTGGGGTTTTGTCCGTTGGGGTTTTATCCGGTCACCTCCATACATATACAATACTTGCATTTTTACATTTTACTTTTATCCTCTTCACCATTGATCAGCTCGTTAGCCGCTTGGGTATTATTGCATTTTCACACCCCACATTCCTACCACTAATCTATTACCATATTCGAATAAGACGTCTAATTATAAGATCATTTTCATCTTATAATCATCTGTGACGATCTCTGGTCCCTCTCAGATTGAACACCAGGCCACTGAGCTCAGACTTCGGGCATTCAGCACCCATCTCAGGGGCACTACACCAGTCAAATGAAAGTGTCCTTGCTTGAGCTGGCGACGCCGCCCCACAAGGGGTCACAGCTCAAGATTGAAGAAGCTGCAAGTCCAGAAAACCGTGAGGGCAAACTTTTTCGGAGTGAGGGTTGTAAACTCTTGGAACAATCTACCAGAGAGTGTTGTGACGGCACCGAGTGTGAGCTCTTTCAAGACAAGACTTGACCAACGCTGGAGCGGGTTCAGGTACATTCAGGAGCCGGTGCATGACCAGTATTTGCCAACAGTGCGTGACATAGACGTGACCGATCGCCTGGGCGGCTAACGAGCCGATCAGTGGCGAAGAGGATAAAAGTAAAAGTGAAGTATTACATTACTGTCGCAAATGTATAATAACGGAGGTAGTGTATCCAAAATTTTCTCTTATTTTATTCCATTAATCTTCCGCCATTATCGCCTACCTCACCTCCCATACCGTGCGTCTCCTTCATAAATCATCACGTGCATGCGTTCCCGTACACGTTACGCGGCCAATCAAAAGCGTTTTTTTTTTGCAACCAATTAAAATGATTTTTGGTTTAATTCGCTGTTTTTTTGGCCCAATCAAAATCGATTTTTATTTTGGGTCTCCCATATTTCCAAATTCATATTCATTTTCGACCATGGAAGTCTGGGATGGGTGTCACTTAAATTATATGGAGCTGATTGTGAGTTTTGGGGAAAAAAACAAAGAAACTCTAGCATTTATTCGATCGCATGGTGTTCTCCCGACCTCAGTAAAGTGTCCTAAGTGCAAGACTGAATGTAAATAAAGCAAAAACCAACATATGTGGCGTTGTCCTAACTCGTCCCTTATCCCAAAGACAAAGAAGAGACAGCAATAAGGTAAGAAATAGGCGATTCCATCATATGGTGAGAGTCAGTTAGGTTAGGTGAGGTTTGGTTTATGTTTTTCTAGTGTTTTTGATGTATTTTGTATTCGCTTAGTCATTATTTTTTTTTTGGAACAACATCCCACAAAAAAAAAATTGAATTAAAAAAAACCCGACCAATTTCCGACGGAAATGAAGGTCATATTCGGTCTAAACACACACAAATACTCTAGAAAATATATTTTTTACTCTCTAACAGAGTGGGGTGCGCTTATGCAAATTTACCGCTGCTTGGGCCACCGGTCACGTCTCTGTTACGCACTGTTGGAAAGTACTGGGCATGCTCTGGCTCCTGAATGTACCTGAACCTGCTCCAGCGTTGGTCAAGTCTGGTCTTGAAAGAGCTTACACTCTGTGCCGTCACAACACTGGTAGGCTGTTCCAAGAGTTCACAACTCTCACTCCGAAAAAGTTTGCCCTCACAGTTTTGTGGACCTGCGGCTTCTTCAATCTTGAGCTGTGACCCCTTGTGGGGCGAGCGTCCGCCAGCTCCAAGTAAGGACACTCGATTGAGTAGTGCCCCCTGAGATGCTTATACACCTCAACTAGGTCCCCCCTTGCCCGTCTGTAGTATAAGCTAGCGCTCCATTCTCTCAGTGTAGTTGAGGTGCCGAAGTGCAGGCACGTGTCTGGTGGCCCTCCTTTGAACATTTTCAACCAACTGACAGTCCCTGGTATATCTCGGGGACCAGACGGGATGACAGTACTCCAGATGGGGAAGGACTCTTAAAGATCGTTACGAGGGACAGACCTTCTAGATATCTGAATGACCTTCTTAAAAGACCTAATAATTTATTTGCCCGATTTACCTTCTTCTCGCAATGTCCTGAGAACTTCAGCTCATTGCCATCATACACACCGAGGACCTTCTCACATTGTCTCAAATAGTGCAGTTTCTTCATCCCGTTGGGACATATGATATGCCTCCCTACCCTTGGTATGCCCTAGGTGTGTCCTCTTACACTTTGTGACATTGAATCCCAGCAGCCATTTCTTTGACCATTCTTGGAGCTCACCGAGATCCTTCTGCAGCTCTTCACAGTTCTCTTGGTTCTTGATTTCCCGAAATAACTTGGTGTCATCGGCAAACATTTGTATGGAGGAGTGTACAACGTCAGGCATGTCATTTATGAAACAAACAAACAACAGCGGGCCCAATACACTGCCCTGTGTTACCCCGCCTGTGACAGGTACAGATGATGATGATTTCATGCCATTAATCACCACACACTGCTTGTGGTCATGTAGAAAGTCTTCCATCCACGCTAGGACATTTCCCCGAATTCCGTACCCTTCCAGTTTGATTTTCAGCCTTTCGTGGCGTACACTGTCAAAGGCCTTGGTAAAATCTAGGTACTGTATTTATTGTCAATATTACCACCCCCTTCCAGAATATGGGTCCAAATATCCAATACCTTGAGCAAATGTGCTAAGCAGGAGCGCCCCGGCATAAAACCGTGTTGGCAATACTTTACAAGGTTTGTTTTGTAGTAGATGTTCCATCGCGGCATCTCTGATAATACTCTCAAGTACTGTACTTTACATACTATGCTGGTCAGGCTCACCGGTTTATAGTTGTTCGTGGAGTGACGATCGCCTTTCTTGAAGATAGGACTCACATAAGTCATTTTCCAATCACTGGGGGACCTTTTGTTCATCCAGGCATATACAGAACAGGATCTTCAGGGGCTCGGCAAGCTCGTTGCACAACTCTCTTAGCACTGGGATGCAGCATGTCAGGGCCAGGATTCTTATGGACCTTTAGCTTTGATAGTTTATTTCTTATACCCTCTTCTGTGAACACAATGTGGGTCAGTACTGTGTCGAACCGTCTGTCCTCAAACGCAGGAAGGTTAACCGCATCCTCTCTTGTGAACACTGAGGATAAGAAGCTGTTCAATGCCTCAGCTTCATCCTGGTTAGAATCTGCATAACTAGCATCTTTAAACCTCAGGTCTGATACTCCTACTCGTGTTTTTAATTTCGACTTTGCATAGTGGTAAAACGCCTTTGGGTTTGACTTGTATTGTGTATTAACTATGCATGTGTTGTGTAGCTACAAGTTGAATTAAGGGAAACTTGTATTTTAATGAATATATGAATCTATTTATTGGTGTTACTCTACGGTTAGATTGATGGAAATTATGAGAATATTAATTTTATTTATTTATTTATTTTTTTTTATATACAGGAATTAGCTCACCTGGGCACAGGTCACTGACCCACATTGGGGCCTGGGGGGCAAAATTGTAATACAGGGGTAATAATAATAATAATTATTCATATTAAATAAAATTGATAATTAAAAATACAAAATTGAAAATAAAATAATAAATTAATAATGATAATAATAACAATGCTAATAATAATAATAATAATAATAATAATAATAATAATAAAGAAATACAAAAATGGAAAAGATGATAAAAAATAAGAAACAATATATGTATGCTGTGTTGTCAATAATAAGAGAAACAATTGAGACCCTACAATTGTGGTAAATGAGGCAGAAAGTCAGGTCAGCAACCTGGGACTTGGTCACAATTTTCGTGATGCCATATAGCAGCAGGTCTACCATTAGATAACACATTATGCTTCCAATATCTTCCCAGGTGGTAGTATCTCCCTGTTTGGTAGCTGCCTACACTACATCTTACTATAAACTATTCCTATAAAATCATTGACGAGAATAACGTGTTAAATGTTTCAGCTTTGTCAACATGTTGGCTGCAAGACTATCAACACTGGGCAGCAATTGTGCTAGAGGAATGTTGAAGTCATCTGTGGTGGCCCCCAAGAGTCCCTTCACCCCAGTGGTCAGGGGCTACAGGGAAGCTGGTCGGGGATTCACTCGTCGGTCTCGGTTGCGGGAAATGGAGGCACAGACTGTCCAGGCAACAAAATCCGTCACAGGAAAGATTGGACGTAAGTGTTTACTTTTATCCTCTTCACCACTGATTGGCTTGTTAGCCGTTTGGGCGATCGGTCATTCTCTGTTACACACTGTTGGCATGCACCGGCTCCTGAACATATCTGAACTTTCTCCAGTGTTGGTCAAGTCTGATCTTGAAAGAGCTCACACTCGGTGCCGTCACATCACTCTGGCAGGTTGTTCCAAGAGTTCACAACTCTATAACTCTTATTCAGTATAATAAGGATTCCCTCCTCTTCCTCCCTTCCCCCTATTTGTACAAAATTGAAACATCATAACATCATCCCAACAGCCAACATATGTCGATGGTGGATGTTGTTAAACCTTTGAGGATGCTGATTTAACCCTTTGGGGACGATGGTTGAACCCTCCAATACTCAAGGGGTTTACGATGAACAAAGGTTATTTTCCAATTAAAAGTATTTGACATGATATTTGTTTTAGTTACACCACAGATTTTACTAACAATAGTTGGTTTTGCTGCTGTATTTTGTGTTGTTTCAAATGAATTTGACCTTCATTTCCATTGCAAATGAGCTGTTTTTTTTTCTAGAAAACCTACCAAGCCAAACCTGACTTCCTTGCCAGGGAGCTTCATCAGCCATATTAAACATAAAATACGTACTTTTATATATGGTAGCAATGAAAGCAACAATCTTGAAGTGTCATGGTGTAATTTTACGTTTTTTGCGGGCTAATAGACGACTTGTGACCGTCAGTGGTTCGGTAATTGTGGGGTGTTTCAAGAGTTTTGTATGCAGATTTCTTTCATTTCTATTAATTTTCTTGGGCAAAGGCTTAGTTTTCTAGATGTAGGTTAGGTCAGGTTTGGTTAGGTTAGGTGAACACCTGATTTCAGCCATTTTTATATTTTTTTCCCAACATAATAAAGTATCTGCTAATAAAATCAGTGAAAACTGGGTATTTTTAAACCCAATTTCAATGAAAAACAGAGGACAGTCATGATATGAATACTAATTAATTCTTTTGGACGTGCAAGTACGCTCGAACTGAGCAGGTTGGTTGTAAACAAGCAAGGCAGATGACAACATGCGCTGACAATGGCAGATACCTAACATTTGAAGGTAAATATATTAAAAACTTAGCTTTTGCACATGAAACCTTACTCCTAAATATCAATCCGTAATTAAAAAGATGAAATTTAGGGCAGTAAAAACCAATAGAAGAGGAATGGGTGAAAGATGAATATTAACCCATCAAAAGTTCCACATTACTCGAAAAAATACAAATTTGCGATGGGAGTGTAATAGATTTTTTTCTCCTTTTCCATAAAGTATAACTAGAAATATGAAGTTCCGTGGTGTAAGTAAAACTAATGTTAACCTTTAAATACATTAAAAAAATTAATACAAATATTCAGACCATAATTGGTTGATCATACAGTGAGTTTGTCTGTTATAGATTAATTTAGGCAGTGGCTATCTCCCTGGCACTCGGACAAATAATTCTCAGGTGGTATTTCTTCAGTACTCTCGGACATACAGTATAGTTGTTATGCAACAGATAAAGGAGCAGTCATTGCACTTGGACATATTGAGATACAGTACAGTATATTAATTGGCACAGGATACAGGTTCAGTACAACAGCCGTATACAAAACATCAATGTCTTTTGGTACGACAGCGTAATGCGCATGTGTGATGGGCAGACTATACAATGATTGTTACTAAGGTGGCTTTTCTAACTAACCTAAACAAACCAAACCTAACCTAATCTATAACCTAACCATTAACAATGCAGTCTGTCAATACGGCTGCCAAACCTATATTGTATTCAGTGTGATTTTTGGCATATGGCTGCCATACATGTATCCACTACGATATTAATTACAACAGTCAGTTAAAAAGTACAGTACATGTGTATTGTACATTAAAAAGTTAGGTTAGGTTAGGGTATTCCATCTCAGGAAAATTTTCCACTGAAATAAGTGGAGTTCCTAATAATGAAATCCTATACATGTGTTATTACTTTATCCTCTTCGCCACTGATCAGCCTGTTAGTTACTTGGGTAGTCGGTCTCGTCTCTGTTACACACGATTAGCAAGTATTGGGCATGTGCTGGCTCCAGATTGTAACTGAACCTGTGCCATTGTCAGTCAAGTCTGGTCTTGAATGAGCTCATACTCGGTGCTGTCACAACACTCCGGTAGAGTGCTTCAAGAGTTCACATCCTTCACTGCAAAAAAGTTTAGCAGACAAGTTTTTGAACCTGTGGCTTCTTCAACCTAAAGTTGTACTTCCCTTCACTGTAGTTGCAAGTAATGATACAACACTCATAAGAACTAAAGGATTGCAAGATATTTCACCATTAGTATCACCAATAAAAGAAACTGGTTGCAACAAGTGTGAGAGTCATTGTAAATATTAAGAGGTATTCTTGTCATTGGGGAACCAAACCATATTTTTTCCCGTATGTTATAATATTTGATGTATCATTATTCACTTTATGATTGGTTTTCAAGGAACTTAACCCATTTATATAGGGAGGGGGGGGGGTACCATACCTACTTTGAGGGTTTTAAATTCACACTAAGAAGTTTGCTGGATATATTGTTGGATATATTACTCACTTCATTATGTCATGCTGTATTACAATACATTTTAATTCTACAATATTCTGGAGAGGAACCTCATCATATTTGGTATAAATTTTAGAATAAAACAACATAATTTTTTCATGGATTTCAATAAGTGACGTTCAATTGGAATAATGATTAGAACTAAGTCATTTTGATTATCCTAGTAAACTGTGGACCTTCAGACAAGACCCAATAGGGCAGATCTCGGAGATATTAAAAATCTTGATATGGATGAAAAACTTGAACCCGAGCCAATTTTTGTAATGTCCCTCACCACCAACATGAGGGACATAACTACAAGTTCACCAGAGGGTGGTAGATCTATTGAACAGTTTACCTGCTTCAATATAGTGTAGCCCTAAATAAAATTATCAAGATCACAGGCCAGTTGCCTCCTTCCCTCAGCATGACCACCTCTTGTGGGTGGCCATTAGGTAAATAAGGTAATCAATCTGGTTTTTCTCTTGGCTGCACCTGCATACTTGTATACCTGCATAATTTATATGCATGGCAATTTCACTGATTACATATTATTATTACTATTATTCCAATGTGGAATAATGTAGCCTGATTTTCTACTGTAGGGGCCTAATTTGAAAACATACAGACTTAAATTTCCAGTAATACATTGGTAGTTGTGTAGTTTTGAAGTTGTTGTGCAGTACTTTTTTTAAACGTTGGTCATCAATAAACTAGCAAGCCCAATATAAGATGTGAATAAATGGTGTCATTGCCAACTCTGTTACCAACTTGTAATTATTGTGATGTTCTTCATATCACTAATAAAATAGTTGTACAGCTGTAGCTACCACCATCACTCTTACTGAAAAATCAAGGGAGTATACAGTACTGTACTCCCTAAGTAAGTAAATATTTATCTTTTACTGCAAAATAATTAATGTGTTGCTTGGATAAATTATCCCTTGATATATAAAGTTGGATATTAATAACCTACTTACTATATATAAATTGATTTTAATGAATAAGCTGGTGTCATGCATAATATCATGTAATGCTTAATAGACTTGATGTGTTTTATACCCAAAAGCCACTTGGTGACGCCATTGTCTTGGGAGGATAAAATTTTAGTAGTCAGTGAGCCATCCTCCTAGAGTACAGGGTCCTTGGTATAAGTGAGGCCATCTGTTTCTTGTCAATAATGATTTACTATATTTTTTTTTATAAATTATTTGTCTTGTAGGTCCTTATGTATTTCTTTTATCCTCTTCACCAATTCATCGGCTCGTTAGCCGTTTGGGCGATCGGTCACGTCTCTGTTACGTACTGTTGGCAAGTACTGGGCATGCTCTGGCTCCTGAATGTACCTGAACCTGCTCCAATGTTGGTCAAGTCTGGTCTTGAAAGAGCTTACACTCGGTGCCGTCACAACACTGGCAGGTTGTTCCAAGAGTTCACAACTCTCACTCTGAAAAAGTTTGCCCTCACAGTTTTCTGGACCTGCGGCTTCTTCAATCTTGAGCTGTGACCCCTTGTGGGGCGAGCGTCCGCCAGCCCCAATAAGGACACTCGACTGAGTAGTGCCCCTTGAGATGCTTATACACCTCAACTAGGTCACCCCTTGCCTGTCTGTAGTATAAGCTAGGCAAGTTCAGGCGCTCCATTCTCTCAGGGTAGTTGAGGTGCCGAAGTGCAGGCACAAGTCTGGTGGCCCTCCTTTGAACATTTTCAACCAACTGACAGTCCCTAGTATATCTCGGGGACCAGACGCGATGACAGTACTCCAGATGGGGAAGCACTTCACTCTTGAAGATCGTTACGAGGGATGGACCGTCTAGATATCTGAACGACCTTCTTATAAGACCCAATAATTTATTTGCCTGGTTTACCTTCTTCTTGCAATGGCCTGAGAACTTCAACTCATTATCAACATACACACCTAGGTCCTTCTCACATTCAGTCTCAAATAGTGCAGTTTCTTCATCCCGTTGGGACATAAGATATGCCTCCCTACCGTTGGTTTGTCCCAGGTGCATCCTCTTACACTTTGTGACATTGAATCTCAGCAGCCATTTCTTCTACCATTCTTGGAGCTCACTGAGATCCTTCTGCAGCTTTTCACAGTCCGCATGGTTCTTGATTTCCCGATATAACTTGGCGTCATCAGCAAACATTTGTATGGAGGAGTGTACAACGTCAGTCTTGTCATTTATGAAACAAACAAATAACAGCGGGCCCAATACAGTGACCTGTGGTACCCCGCTTGTGACATGTACAGATGATGATTTCGTGCCATTAATCACCACACACTGCTTGTGGTCATGTAGAAAGTCTTCTATCCACGCTAGGACAATTCCCCGAATTCCGTACCCTTCCAGTTTGATTTTCAGCCTTTCGTGGGGTACACTGTAGAAAGCCTTGGCAAAATCTAGGTATTTATTGTCAATATTACCACCCCCTTCCAGAATGTGGGTCCAAATATCCAATACGTTGAGCAATTGTGCTAAGCAGGAGCTCCTCGGCATAAAACCGTATTGGCAATACTTTACAAGGTTGTTTTGTAGTAGATGTTCCATCGCTGCATCTCTGATAATACTCTCAAGTACTGTACTTTACATATTATGCTGGTCAGGCTCACTGGTCTATAGTTGTTCGTGGAGTGACGATCGCCCTTCTTGAAGATAGGACTCACATAAGTCACTTTCCAATCACTGGGGACCTTTTGTTCATCCAGGCATTTACAAAACAGGATCTTCAGGGGCTCGGCAAGCACGTTGCACAACTCTCTTAGCACTCTGAGGTGCACCATGTCAGGGCCGGGACTCTTATGGACCTATAGCTTTGACAGTTTATTTCTAATACTGTTTGAAAACATTCCAGTATGAAGTGCACTATGGGTTATTTTGGGTATTAATACCTGTACAATACTACTTTTTAATAGGAGTACATAGTGTGTTTCATTAGTTTCATTAAGAATATGAGAAATTGGATCTTGTAAAGATTAAGAACCCTTGTTTATTTCAGCTGCAGAGTAAACACCCAAATGTTAACTTAATCTCACCTTACCCCCCCTCCCCTGTCATTTGGCATAAGTGTTTAATCATCCAGTGAAATAAGTGGGAGGCTCATATATTGTGTGAGATCGTATAAGACGACAGTAATTTGTTTCATTAAGAATTTGAGAAATGATTTATTAGTTGAAATGAGAGTTAGGGCGAAACAGAGTTAACTAATCTTTACTTGGACTCTTTCAGCGATGGAGGTTGGACAGATTGCTGTTGCCGGAGGAGCTGTGCTGGGTATGGGTGCGCTCTGTTACTATGGCCTCGGCATGTCCAATGAGCCCGGGGCCATTGATCGTGTGGTGTAAGTTGCTGTCGTGTGTGACGGTTGTACGCGTTTGTTTGTCAACAGTTCTGATTTTATTTGGCTTGGATTTTATTTCAGTACAGTATATTATCTTTCCCTATCTTTAATTATGGTTTTATTCCTTTGTCTACTCTGCCTTAAGCTGCGGTCACGCTAGAGTTTTTACCCAAAATAAATCCACCGTGGCGTTGATTTTTCAACGAGCTCCTCACGTCTCTACAGAACTTATTTGTTGTCAACAGTGGGATGATTTGGAGCGTCTGAAAATCCATGGTATGGCAGGTTGAAATTTGCTATAGAGTCTTTTGTACTGATATGTTTACACCTTTCTTATTTTTGCTTATTAATGTTAAGATGTATAAAAAAATATAAAAAGTGTACAGTATTTCAGTACCAAAACACGAGCAAAAGTGTCATAGTAAACAAAAAAGAATACATCACTACGGGAATATCATTTGACTCTAGAGTACTTGCATCACTTTTGTAAACAAACATCGCATGGATGCTACAATTGTTTCTTTTTTGTCTTGGGCTTCTTTAACAGGACCACACGTGTCACTAAAGTGGTTAATGCTGCCATAGAAACGTATAATGAAGCCATCCTGCTTTCCAACTGAGCTCAAACTAGCCTTGCCTGATGCCCAGCCTGGCCAGATGCCCAGCCTGGCCAATGGCTCGTTTCTCCAGTGTGACCAATATGCGGATCATACCGTTGACTTATTGCCTATGGATGAAATGCTACTGTGGATTTATTGCACGGAAATGTCTAAAACTCGTGTGACTGTAGCTTAAAGTTATCCGAGAGTCCCGAGTGATATAAATGTTGTGTTGTGTGTCATACTGTTGCATTTTTCTTTTTTTCTTTTCTGGAATCTTGTTACCATTAGTTCTCAGCTTATTTCAGTTTATTTTCTATAGCTACAAAACTCGTAACTTTTTTGTCACTGTTTTGGAGAAATATATCGTGACTTATGTTTGCAGATTGTGGCCACAATATGTTCGCGATCGCATCCGAGACACTTACTCATACTTCGGAGCATCATGTGTTGTCGTGGCAGCATCAGGTGTTGCTGTCTACCGCTCTCATCTTGGTCAACGCTTCATCGCTCTCTGCTCCCGACATCCTATTATGGTGAAAACTGTGTGGATGAAGTTACCAGGGCCTGGATGCACTAGCATATTGTATTTGTATTTAAGTCACTTAATAATAATAATAATAATAATAATAATAATAATAATAATAATAATAATTATTAACGGTTTATTGAAAGAGCATGGCAGCCGGAAGGCTGAAAATATACAATTATACATAATTGGGGAATGGGTCTCTTGATTTACAAATGATATACAGGTAACATAAGTGATACAGATATGATATATAATAATTAGGTGTTGATAATTTTTACAATGGATGGGACTAGGCTGTTCTTATAGCAATCAGTTCGTGCTTGTATGGGCTGGATGCGGTTGAGCAGGTGTGTGGCCACGTGGCCAGGACAGTAGCTTGGGGCAATGCAGGTGTGCTCCATCATTCAGGTTAGATCAAGTGAGGCCGTGAGGTCAGGTCAGGTTAGGTCAGATCCAGCCACACTCGTATTACACTGCTGTGTTTTTGTGCTTTTCCTTGGAGTGCACTATGGGAACACTGTTTGGTAGTCAATCGTTCACTGATCACTTTAATGTTTTGCTGAATAGATCCCGGTGTAGTAAGGCTGGTAGGGCGTTGGGATATAGCAAGGGGGGTGGGGGGGGGCAAGGGCAAACAGACTCGGCCTGGCTGCTCAAACTGGGAGCGCCTACAGGGCACGTCTTGTCTCGCTGGTGGTTGACAAGTCTCTGCTGGTGCTTGTAACTCACATAAGTCATCTGCCTTAGCTAAGATCATATGCACAAAGCAATTTAAGTGTGTTGAAGTTTGGGATGTTGGAAACTTAACTTAAGTCGTCCACTCCTGAGTTGTCTTAAGTGAGTACCCCGGCCTTGCGTTCACTAGGGCAACACTGCTTTTAGCTGCAGCGATTGGTCTTTTGTGAATTTTGCTCATGTAATACCTGTACATTGGAAAGGTATTTTAAATACAATCTACAAAAAATACAAAACTGATATTTCATTATTTTTCTTCAAAGTAAAATTTGTATGAGGTAAGAGAAATAATAAAAGAAATATTAAGAAAGAAAGAACAGAATAGGATTGATTGAAAGTAGAAAAAGAAATATTAAATATAATTACAGAATAAAGCATAGAAAGTAAATATAAAATAAAGGAATAATAAATCTCAATTGTGATTTTGTTGATTCACAGCTAATATTGTGTGGCCGTAGCATTGTGGTGAATGTGGTCTTCCATGTGTGTTTTAAGTGTAGTGCTATTGCTTCATAGCATCTGCTCTGCGACTGGCTGAAGGGACAGAAAAGTGACAGAAAAATATTTGTAATGTGCACTCTGATTGGTTGATGGCTGTCAGCTGACGCGGCAGAATACAGTCTTTAGCCACGACCGTCTTGGGCTACGACAGTCATAAGTTTGATTTCAGTATGCGAACTTAAGTTTTCACTTTGCCCTCACTTAAGATTTTGAGCTAAGTGAGCAATCTCGGCAGACTTAAGTTCAGACATTAGTGCATCCCTGCCCTGGTCTGGAGTCTTCTACTTTTGTTAATTAGTTTTAAATGTGAAAATTTGAGTAAATCTCTGATATAATTTGAACACGTTCACATCTTTAAACATCTTGCAGTCTACTGTTGGTCTGCTGGTGGGTGCTATGGGAACTGGATATGCCATGATGTCTATCCCATACTCGCCTGGGCTGGGAGCCAAACAGATGATGTGGCTGGTCAACTGTGGTGTGTTAGGCTTAATTGTGGCCCCCATTGGTGCCCTTGGTGGTGCCATAGCCATCAGGGCAGCTTGGTACACTGCAGGTAAATATAATGGTCATTTGTTTGATAGCCATTTAGGGTTAGTAAAAATTTTTTTTTTTAAACCCAAAACAATTGTTTTTTGTTTGTTTTGTTGTTTTTTGTTCATTTAGTATTTTAATGCTATTTGTTGGTTTTAATAAGTTTTAATTATTTGTAGCTCTTTTCCTTCTCAAAAAATCACTGCAAAGGCCAAATTTGAAAAACACGACCTTGATCAGTCATCCAGACTCATCCTACATGTTTAAAGGCAAAACTAAGTTTAAGTTCATCTTCATGCATGAAAAAATTATTCTACTTTTACAGTTGAGAGTTTTAAAGAATTCATTTAAGTACACAGAGAGAAGAGAGAGAGAAGAGAAGAGAGAGAGAAGAGAGAGAGAGAGAGAGAGATTGGGCAGTGGCACCTTGGCTCCCCTGGACCTGTATAATACAATGTCATGATCTTAACACATTAGAATTAGAGGCTCAGACTCCATCCATAAACAGAGGCAGTGACCAGTTATACTGAATAGTGGGAACTTGGCTCCCTTACAATCAGGATTTGAGATGTGTGCAGCCCTGTAAGAAAGCTTATTGTTTCCACTTTCACCAGTGTATAATAGTTCACATCCATGTTTATGCTGAACAACCACGGGGACATATCTAACACCCACATTTATTTCAAATGTTTCAAACTTCTTTCCCATTTACACCTACTGTTGCTCTGCTGCTCTAATAGAATGCTTTTACTGCATTTAATAGCCTTCCTCCCACCCCATACACTTGTAATTCCTCCCACAATGCTTTTCTGTACACCCTATTATATACCTTTCCAAATCTACTATAAATCATTAAGACCATCTGTAAGTAATAAAAAACACCAAAACATATTAAACCAAGAAAAAGGGCACATAAAAAGACAATATATATTTTTTAGTTTGGTTTAAACCATTGTCATTGGTGGCCGTGACTGAAGGTGCAGTCTGCATAACTAGCTATACTTTTACTTGCAAAATTCCTCCCAACATTTTGAATTACAGTACAAATATCTGGAATTTACTTAAAGGGTCATACTGTATTGGTAAAACTCTTTGGGATTATAACTTTTGATTAATTTAGATTTTATTTGTATTATTTAGTATTGTTAACCGTGGGAGTGGCTTGCCCCGGGAGTCAGCTGGGACAGCCACATCCCCCTAGCTCGCTCCCTGCCAGGCTGAGGCAGGAGTTATATTATGGTTATTTTTCATCTCGTAATTTCAGGTAGATCTACATAATTTTATATGAAAATTTTTTTTACTCTTACATACTGTACAGTACACATAATCTTCATGCAGAATGTGCCCCCCAAAATTATCGTACGGTCATAAACATAAAGGGATTAAACATTTGTTGCTTGTGTGACAGGTAGCTAAGAGAGTGAAGGAAAGAGTGGTGTGTCCCTCGTGTGTTGTGACAAAGATTACCAAATGGCAAAGCAGTATTTTTATTTTCTTTATTTATTTTTATAATTTTTATTTATTCCTATCCAGAATAGCACTCTAAGGGGTCATTATACCATTGCAGAGTACCGCATCAGAGGCTTCTGAGAAAAATTAAGGCTCATGGTATCGAGGGGAAAGTTTTAAATTGGATAAAATCATGGCTCACCGATAGAACGCAGAGGGTCAGCGTAGATGGTGTTAAATCTGAGTGGGGCCGTGTAACCAGTGGGGTTCCCCAGGGGTCAGTACTAGGCCCACTCTTGTTCATAATCTACATAAATGATCTAGATACTTGGATCAGCAGTGACATAAGCAAGTTTGCGGATGACACCGAAATAGGGCGGCAAATTAATTCAGGGCAGGATGCAAATGCATTACATGAGGATCTAAATAAACTGCAGGGGTGGTCTGAAAAATGGCAAATGAAATTCAACACCAGCAAGTGCAGCGTACTTAATATTGGAAGAACAAATACTTATAATGTATACAGCCTTAACAACATCAACCTAGAGAAGTTGACTTGTGAAAGAGACACTAGGGGTAATTGTAAGCCCGGACCTACGGCCTAGAAAACAGTGCGTTAATGTTCGAAATAAGGCAAACAGAGTATTGGGTTTTATATCTAGAAGTGTAAGTAACAAGAGTGCAGAGGTCTTATTGCAACTATATCTTGCGCTAGTCAGGCCGCACCTTGATTATGCGGTTCAGTTCTGGTGCCCCTATTATAGAATGGATATAAATTCACTAGAGTCGGTGCAGCGAAGAATGACAAAAATGATTCCGGGACTTAGAAACCTTCCATATCAGGATAGGTTAAAGAAACTTAACTTGCATTCCCTAGAAAGACGAAGAGTGCGGGGAGATATGATAGAAGTATTTAGGTGGGTGAAAGGAATCAATAAAGGGGATATAGATAAAGTTCTTATAATATCCGAGCAGGATAGGACTCGGAGCAACGGATTCAAGATGGATAAGTTTAGGTTTAGGAGGGAGATAGATAGGAAGGAACTGGTTCACAAATAGGGTGGTGGACGAGTGGAACAAGCTTAGCAACTTTGTAGTAAGTGCGGAAACTCTGGAAAGTTTCAAAAGGAGGCTAGATAGATTCATGGATGATAGAGAGAGGTAGTAACTCTCGACTGGAGCTGCCATGCACAGGCCAACCGGCCTATTGCAGACTCCTTATTTTCTTATGTTCTTATGACATTATTTTTTACCTATGAGATATATATACAGTATTGTATGTGAAGAGTGCAGGTATTAAGAAGCACAGATTATTTCAGTAACATATCTTTACTAATTAGTGAATAACAAATAAATTCTATATTGCATCGTCAATGACACTCGTTTAATGAACAGTAGTGGTGAGAATGATTATGGGAGGGAGGGAGGCAAGAGGCAGTGGATATCATACGGCTCTGCTCTGGCTGAAGCTAATTCATCTCTGTATCACTGAAATCATGATTTAAACAGGTGAAAATAGAGGTAGTGGTGATGATGGGGGGGTTGGTGGTGAGGAAGATTGTGGTAAATGATGAGGTGATGCATCTATCAGTTTCTTTGGTAACACTGCACCTGCAGCACTGCCACACACTGTTCAACAGTTGATATCTACCCACTAAATTGAGTGGAAATATAAATGAGCACTGATGTATCCTTAAAACATTACATTACATAACATTTTAAAATATGGAGTGAGAAGGCAGAAAGGTGTGGGTGATTAGGGAGATGGAGATGAAAGGAGTGGTAACATGCACTGGTGTGTTGCCAAGTGCTCCTCAACAACCTCGAATAACGACGTTAATGTGTCCTCCAATATTGCAGTTTAAGGTGAATCGTCTTATCGCGAATCATTAATTACCATTAAAATAAAGCAATTATAATGAGATGCATTCCCAAGTGTGATCTTTCATATCTTTTGAGTGGGTTTTTACCCTCTTTCCCCCCCTAAACAATACAATTAATGAAAATTGCAAACTCTATTCTTTAAATAATGTTTCTGAATGCACCTTATACAATATAAATGAATAATAATATGGTCACACAAGAGGAGATGGGACGCCAATGTTTTTTTTTTCGTGTTTACAGCCGGGAGTCCGGGACGATAGTACTACACGAGAAAATGAAGAAAATGAGACCCTGGTTGTAGATGTAGTAAATTTAATGTAAAAAAAATGAATATACAGGTATATGTTTTAAGTAACATTATTTAATGTTAATAAATGGAACAATCGAAGTAGCTAATCACTAATGGCAAAGAAAAAAAAAAGAGATGGATTAGGAATGCCAACATATACGTGTGTATTTAATGATACCGCGTCATTTATCTGAAGAATATGTACAAAAGATTCATTATTGTTTATTACTGAATATGTATTTGATTGAATTAATGTTTATATATGTGAAATGAACAATGCAATTCATTAATAATACATAGAATATTAAAACACACAAGAGGAGACAAGACAGCATTGTTTTCATGTGTGACGATGGTTCTACATAAGAAACTGAAGAAAATAAGACCCTGGTTGTAGCTGTAGTGAACTTAATTAAAAAAAAAAATGAATACCTGTATATATGTTTTAAGTAATGCTATTTAATGTTAATAAATGGAACACTAGGAGTAGCTAACCACTAATGGTAAAGAAATAAGGCGAGACGATTGGGAACGCCAACGTATGTACAGTAAGTACGTACATATGAAAAATATCGTCATTTCTCTAAATATGAATATGAAAGCAACACTTATTTACTGTTCATATATATTTTAAATAATATTTACGAATGTAAAAAAAAATTCTATTTACCAATGGTGGTAAAGTCTAAAACATAAGGACAGCCAATGAATATTGTGCGAGTTTTTACTCAGATGACAAAGTCATCAGGTTCAACTCTGGCTGAAGCTGTAGGTTCAACTCTGGCTGAAGCTGTAGCATTCCATAAAGCTGTTGCTGAAACTGTTACTGAACCCGAAGTTGAACCTGCTTATGATGCGGAATTTGATGGTGTGGCTGAAGTTGATGGTTTAGGCCTTCAAATAATAAAGCTGTCTAAAGAACCCTGCACAGCTGCTTTCTTTTCTCATTATACATCTTTATGTAGAGGTCAAATGCATTTATTTAAATTTTAAGGCTTTGTTCTGTTAATGGATCCACTTCAGAAAATATGTTCATTGCTTGCTCCATATAATATCCACAGACCTCTCCCCTTTTTCATATCCTTTTAACACATCTAGTTTTTACAGTAATTTTTTTTTATAATACATATTGGGATTTAGTTATTATTTATATGAAAATGTAATTTTATTTAATTTTTAATATATTTTGGTCTTAAATATGAATGAAATAAGGACATAAATTGAATTGGGTTATAAATTAACTAGGGTTATAAGTATGAAAAGTTGTTGGTCGAACCAATGTTATCGGAGGCTTACAACAGGGTTAAGGACCCAAATCCGGGTCGTAAGTCGAAAATGCTTAAATAATACATAGAAAATCTAAAATGGGTGTCTCTTTTTCTTCTCGGCACCACAAAACTCTCACTTTTAAACTTGCCAGCCATTTTAAAGTGATTTACAAATGAAAATTTTGTCATTACACAGTGCAATCACTAACGTCGGGACTCGAAAATACGTAATTTGAAATTTTTTTGGTACGACTGAGGCGGTCGTAAGTCGAGGGATACCTCTACCTGTATTAATAATTTCCTTAATATTAATTGTATTTCAGGTATTGTTGGAGGCCTGAGCACGGTGGCAGCTTGTGCACCGAGTGATAAGTTCCTCAACTGGGCTGGGCCACTTGGTATTGGTCTTGGGGGCGTGCTCGTGGCATCGCTCGGCTCAGCCTTCCTGCCTCCCACATCTGCCCTCGGCCTTTCTCTGTACTCCATCTCCCTCTATGGTGGTCTGCTGCTCTTCTCAGCCTTCCTGCTCTATGATACCCAGAAGGTAAACTTTCACTTAATTTGTACAGAAACTTCCAGATAACGGGCTTCTCCGTCTCTATGTACAGTAATCTGTTTGAGGGGGCCAGAACTTCACATGTAACAGATTCTCGATATAACAAACTTTTATATCTATAAACAGTAGAACCTGGACTAATTGGGGCAGACCCCAGTCCGAAAAATGCGAAAGTCCTTAAAGAATGAGCATTCTTGAAAAAAGAATCCCACACTGAAAACCATGAGTCATTGTTTATAAAGAGCAAACAGCTGATCAGCTTACCACAATGTCCGTCTTCAACACTTAGTACAGCACAGTTGTGTATTTACCATCACTTAATAAATACTATTGTAGTGTATTTATCACCACTTAATAAATTCTATTTAAGTGTAAATTATTATGCATCTGCATATACCCTGGTTTATTCATTAATCATTTGTCGAAGTGTACAAGTTGCCAAACTGAGTCATCATATAACAATCAAAGGTAGTAAATAACGTTTTTAAGAAGGTATCTTCATTATACAGTGTCTTAAAGTGACCCCTGTTGTAAGCTGGTCTATTGAAAGCTCTCACACAAATGCATCTTGAGTAAATAACCTTCTGAACAGCTTATCCTTTTATTTTCAAGTCATATTACAAATTACATACAGTATTGTATGTTTTTCTGTTACTGAAGATGCTATATTAATCTTGATGAACCATAAACCATAAGAGGCCAATCATATGAGAATGTAATACTGAATCAATATATAAATAAACCTGACAAATGTGGCAACACCTGATCAGCTCCAGTCTGCTTACATATTCGAGTGTCTTAGTTCTCAGTTGGCCAATGGCAAATCTGATTAGATCACTACAGTATTCAGTAAGTGTGGTTCATTTCAAAGACTATTTTTATTAATCTCTCCCCCTCCCCCCCCTTTTTTTTATAGTATTTCTGGTGACCAAAGCATCTCAGAGTCCAAAAAAGCAAATTCCAATATATTGAAGTCCTATTTATTGAGGTTTTACTGGGTAGTTCATTAAGTGGGTATTTCACATCTAATGGACCCTCAATATAATGGACTTTTATGTATATAGTTTATTAGATGGGGGTTTCACATGTAACAGACCTTCGATATAATGTAATTTCATCTTTATATAGTCCATTTAGAGATTTCACTTGTATGTGTTTGGCTGTAGCAGATCTAGCAATTGCTGTATTGGGTGTTCTGTTAGGTTAGGGTAGTTAATGTTCAGGTGAAATAAGCTGGGGTGTCTAATGTTAAGTTCAAGACATTTTATGTTATTATTTTTGCACCATATGACATTTTTATACTGTTAGTAGATAGTTGATGACTACACCCTTTCCATGCTAAACTGGCCCATAAGCCACACCCCTCTTCTATGAAAATAGCTGATTGGTTCATAGGAAATGTTCGTGCAGCTGTCCAGCAGATGTTAAATCTTAACTCAACAGATGTCAGCATTGTGCTACTTAACCAACAAAAACATTTCTCACACCCACGATTAAATTATTAAATACTTTATTCACTAACTTGGCATCCCTATCTTAAATACTGCATTGTGACAAGATTTAAGTAATAATATATTCTGTGAAATATTAAGAAGCAATGTAGAGGTTTAACATTTTCATCCTCTGTTATCAAGTATCAAGGAATTTGGTGCAAATGAACAAAAATCTCAGCCAATGATGGACGAGGTATAGTAAATTTGTGTCACAGTAGTCTAATGCGAGCTCTACTGTACTGGCAGTACGAATTAAGTGTCCAGCTGATCTGTCACTATGAGCTGATCACCTGTTGATCTGGCCACGAAGCCCAGTGGCTGTTCCCCTGAGCATTTTACCTTCCCCTAGACTGTGCGTATATATATCGAGTTTTATCAGTTACATATATAAATGATTTGGGATATACTGTATACAACCATACAAACTGTAGTTCCTTACCTATTGTGCTATATTTATTGTAGCATTTATTTCTGTTTGCTTTATGATTGGTACAAAAGAAAGAAATATGAAAAGACATCATTTGAAAGCGAATTTCATCTTTGATTTCGACCTTTCGTGATAAATATTTAAAATTCTAACATCCTCTCTGAAGTGCTAATGTCTTAAAATCATTTGCATTTTGATAGTCCAGCTATTTAACATTATTAGTCCAGCTATTTAACATTATTTTAGAGAATAACGGGTTTGCTTACCAATTATGAACATATATAATTTGAATAAATGGACAACTACATGAAAATTTTCTATGAACCAATCTGCTATTTGTAGCTATAGACGAGAGGCGTGGTTTATGGGCCAGGTTAGCATGGAAATACTACACTGTGCTTACTAATGTAATATATATAAAAACCTTAGTTGTTGAAATGTAGTAATTACTACACTTCAACATCTAAGGTCCATGTTAACATTAATAACATGTGACCTTTTTCATGCTGAAAATCTTTTTGTTTAGGTGGTGCGCAAAGCTGAAAGTCACCCCAACATGTACGGGGTTATGCCTTACGACCCCATTAACATGTCTCACCACATTGTCATGGACGCCCTCAACATCTTCATCCGTATAGCACAGATTCTGGGTATGGTTGGCGGAAGACGAAAATAAACCTGCGGCATAAATGTGTAAGAAATTGGATATTGTAACCTCAGTGTATATGTAAGGATTTTATATCATTCATTTTGCTACTCTTGTGTCTATTAAGTAGTAATAGATGTGAGAGATTGATAGTCACTTGTTTTGTTCTATTTTTAGTATCTGTTGAGTTTCAGACATCAAGTAGCAGGTACTTGTGTGTTCTTTACTACCTGACCGGAAAATCTATATGAAAGTTTCCACCGATTGCTGTGTAAACACGAGTTGTCAGTCAAATTGAAGTGAAAAAATCAACACAAGTAAGGCATTTACCTGTAGATGGACACAAGTGGGAGTTGATACAAACTGATTTTATTGTGTTTATTTAACATTTTACCTAAAAAAAAAAACTGGGCAAGCAAAGTTCCTCCCAAATTTGTCAGGGCAAGTAAAGAAAAACTATCCAGGCAAGTAAATTGCTTAAGTCACTTGCCTGGGACAAGTAATATAAAAATTAAACAACCCTATTTTCAACAGACAATTGGATAATGCTAGACACATTTCACAGCAAAATACAAAATATACCCTGATATATTATTCACTCAGAAAACAATACATTTTCTTATGTATAAACTACAGTATAAAGCCAAGTAAAACTTCTTTAATGGTTGAAGTTACTATACAGCATACGATGGTTATTACCCTGAAGATAATAAAGTTATAACCAGGGAATAATGGTACTTACATATTGCTGTACAATGGTGATAATGTACTTTGCTTGGCACGAGTAAAAATACAATAATCTTTAAAATTTCAAAAATACATTCACTGTTATTAAGAACAGAAACTAGATAAGTTATATCTGAGCCCCCCCCCCCCAAAGTAGTGGCAATTATTAATTCCTATTATTATACTGTACTATAAGGAGAACAAGATACAGTATTATACAACATATCTGGCACACTTCAACAATTCACTGAAAAATTGACCTCCATCTAGTAGTCGCTAAACAATATTTATAAAATATAAGAATTATCTAATAATTCCGTATGAACTTGTACCTAATAGTTATTGAACAATGTCATCTAACGTCTTAACAAGGCATTTTTTACCCTAGATGAACACCTCGCTAGTCAGCCAGCGGGTGCCCTATCACTTCTGGTAGATGACACATTAATTGGCTTTAAGTCCCAGTAAATATCTACAAGAACTAAAGTTCATCATGCTCCAAGTGTCTAGTGATGAAAGAGACCATGTCGTTCAAAGAGCGATCTCCATTGTATTCTCCAATGTGATTGGCATTCTTGTACAGATACAAAGTTGGAAATCCATTTACCTGTGAAAAACAATATATATATATATTTGTTTGATATCCCTTATCCAAAATGCTCTGAAATCCAAGTCTATTTCATTATATTTATGGTAGATAATACACTTAATATGGCATATATCATAATTTTTATTATTATGGTAAATATGTATGTGTAATGAATAAAGGTAAGACACAGGCTGCTTAGCACCTCGTAGTCATGGCAATGCCAAGCAGACAACAGTGATTGCTTACGTTTCTGGGTCTTTAATGTACATCTTATCACATACTTTATACCGAAAATGGTCAAATTATGTTTCATAAAGCTACCTGCAGAATATATGTATCCATATGCTGTAAATAAAAAATAAATGAATTTTATGCATAGACTTGGGGCCCCAAACCTGCTGGGTGAGCCACCGGATTATATAGGTATTCTAAAATTCAGGGTCACAAATTTGCAAACATCTAAAAAATATAGCTGAAAACTTGACATTTTGGTAAGACTCAAGGTGACTTGAAAAAAAAAATTAATGAAATTCTACCTGTGTAGGCTTTCAGCACACTTTAAATTTATAGTTGTGACCATTTTTCATGATGATCATATCAAGAAATGGAAGGGATCCAATAATTTCTTTTTCAATTTTGCAGGTAATACTAGACAAGATCATTAAGCATGTTCCAAAATTACAGTGGGCCCCTGTTTCTAGGCCACAGACAAAGAACATCATCTACAGGTACATACCTATACCATGGAGGAATGAAATCATCTATGTTGGGTAGCAATCTAGCTTTAAAACCTCCATATAATTACCCTTGCTCATGCTAAATATTTATTTGTAAAACTTTCCACTTGTCCTAAAAACATTGTCAGTAATGCATAACACTCGGTTTGAGAAAATGTAACAGATGCAATTTATCTTTAAGGAATGAAAGAAGGTCATTAATGCAGTGGTACTCTCTTGAAAATTGAATTTACATCAAAACTTATTAATTCACATGGTTCATTGTGTTTATCAATTAAATCACTGCTGTTGTGTATATGTAGGTGGATTAGATATCTGGCCTGTAAGAGGGGATAAATGTCTTGAATAAAGACAAAAGCTAAAATGCTCCAGAGTTTCCCTTTTCCTGTGTGGTTTTATTAGGATATACCTTGTTCTTGTTTCCATTATATATATATACATACATATATACATATATACACACACACACATACATACACACACTCACTACAGTATTCTTGCAAGCACTTTCCTGTAGTAGGGCTCATTACCTAATACCTGACCATTGTGGACCTGATCTCACCCCTCCTCTGTATATATATACCTTGTTTTGTACTTCTCCTTAGTCTGTACTCACCCCTGAAGATGTGTGAATTACACGAAAGTGCTTGGGAACTTTGTGTTTTCTTCTTTCTCTGTATTATAGCATATACCCAGATCACGCACACTCCACAGTGATTATATATATATATATATATATATATATATATATATATATATATATATATATATATATATATTTATCTATATATCTGTATATATCTATCTATCTATCTATCTATCTATATCTATCTATCTATCTATCTATCTATCATCATCTATCTATATCTATCTATCTATCTATCCTATATATCTATCTCTCTCTCTCTATCTATATATATCTAAGAATTCTTTAGTAGATCACAGACTGTATGTGATCTACTAAAGAATTCTTTTAGATCTCGTGACTTTACAAGTAAGAAAGCGTCATTTGCTTACCCTAGCATTTTCTCACGACACGCCACTGCTATATATCTATCTATCTATATATATATCTATCTATATCTATATATATCTATCTATCTATATCTATATATATCTATATCTATATATCTATATCTATCTACCTATGTATCTATCTATCTATGTATCTATCTATCTATCTATATCTATCTATATATATATATATATATATATATTCCTATATATGATAGGGTTGCATTCCTGAAAACCCTAACATAAATCATGAGTCCTTGAAAATGGGTTTCAATTTGATATATTCAAGACTTTTAAATTGTGTACATAAATTTTTTTTTTTTACTTGCCATGTAAGTTAAGTTTATTCCTATTTAGTTTTCCACTTTCCTATGTACAATTTATTTCTGCTCTGTATCATATGTCATGAATCATTAATTTTACCGACATTTGCCGAAGCAAAAGTGAAGCATTAGTAACTCGCCGAATCACTCCATCCATTCTCAAACTGTGCAAGCCGTAAAAAATTACTCACGTTTTGCTCGCTGCACAAGGCTCTATTCACCTCCTGTGTACAATCCACTTTAGCTATCTTCACCTGGTCATGGCCAACAAACTTGCGACCCAACTCATCATATGTTGGGGCCATGCGCTTGCAGTGGCCACACCTAAAATTAAGGGTGAAATTAAGAGAGATCCACACAAATAAATCTTAAGAATATGTTTAGTGATTGCATATAAATACTGTACCTGTATATAGTGGAGTGTAAGACAACATGGTGTACGCGATGCCCCAAATTTTCAATTTACTGTATATATATGAAGTTCTATTTGCTGTATAAGATGATTATAAAATATGAAAGTTGGTGTAATAAACATTACTTTTTTTATCTGGGACAATTTCTTACCCTAAAAGCACATAACATTACGAGACAGCCGTGCATGCAGCATTCACTTCTCGTCTTGCCTGCGATGTCCACTGTTTCTCTGTGGATGTCAGTCACACTAAAATAACCCCTTATAGTACATCCCCCTTTCCTCACACAGCCAAACTGTGGAATGTTCTGCCTTCTTCTATGTTCCTATACTCATACAATCTGTCTCACTTCCTAAAGCTGGTTTTCTGGTATCTTCATGGTGTAGATTAATATAATCTTTTTCTTTTCTATTTTAAATTTATTTTTACTCTTATTTTTTTGCCCCCTAGGCCCCGTTGTGGGTCGATAACCTGTGCCAGGGTGAGCTACTCCCCGTAAAAAAAAAAAAAAAAATTTATGCCATTTTTCACCATGATCCTGGTAGTGGTTTGTTTATGACCATATTTTACTATTCATTTACACATGGAAAACATATGACAATGAATTGCTGTGGCTTATATAGCAATTGGTGTATCCTACAGACATGCAATACTTTATTCCTCTCTGATGAAAGTGGTATAAGGCTTAATAAAACTTACCATGGTGCAAAGAATTTCACTAATGTGTACCCTCTCTCAATAGCATTCTCAAAATTCTCAGAGGTGAGAATTGCAATAGGCGGTCGTGGCTCATCTGCGTCTTCCTTTTGGTTGTCAGCGTCATCACCCAGCGAGCGAACTGTGAATTTCTTTAAATCTTCATGGCTGCGATCTCCAGCATATTTTTCAATCTAAAAAAAAAAAAAAAAAAGTACGTATTTAGGCAAAAATAAACAATTGCTACCAAAAGAACACCCTACACATACTAAAACAAAAGAGTTGACCTAATCTGGTGAGTTAGGTTCTCAAGACTCCCATGGATTGCAAATATCATGGACTGAAATTCAATTGTGCCTTTGGAAGGAAATAAAAGTTTGGGTCAATTCTCAAAATGTCACCCAAAAAGATTTGTTATTTTGACTTATGTTACCTCAATCTTAAAAAAAGCAGAATAAAATGGACTGATTCTTATATTTTGTTTTTAAATATATATAAATGAACCAGGATCAAGCAGCTCTCTATAGTTATTTACTTTAAGGGCTTGAATCCTCAGAGGCAACACTTGTATACACTTAAACAACTGGAGTCATACCTTTTTTCCATCTTCAATCCATAGCAGCGTAGGGTAGCCCTTCACCTCATACTCAGTGCATATATCTCTGAACTGGGTGCAATCTAATTTTCCAATCGTCACAGACTTGTCATGCTCAAAAGTCTTTGCCAAGGATTCCCATGTAGGGGCGAGTCTCTTGTTGTAAGAAAAAAAAGTAAGAAACAAATAATACTAATCAATATTTATGCAAATTTTATGAAATATCAGCTGTTAAGTACCTATCAGTTAAGTACAGGTACCTATAATTTTTTATTGGAAAGAGTGGGAACTGGATATTATATGTAACTTTAAAGTTCAGACACATACAGTACAGCCAATTACTAAAGTACTGTTCACCTCTCCACCCGAACTATGAAACCCGGGTTCAGACTCATGAATCTGAAGCATTTATGGACAGAATAGTATATGTCTACTGCTTCGGGTTCACGAGTCTGAATATTGAGGTTCATGGTTCAGGGGGAGAGGGGAAGGACTTTAGAATCCGACTGTACATTAGGAAAAAACTTAAGTTAGTCAAGGGTATGAAGATGACTGGTATTCACAAATCAGAGATCATTCCAATCCAACTCCTTCAATGTTTCATTTTGTTTAAAAGATATTGTCTACAGTGAAAATATTTGGACAACACTGAAAGCTGTTCTCTCTAAGTCTCATTATTTCACAGAGACAAAATAAATAAACTTGAAAGAAGTTACAAAAAGCAGTATATTTCTGAAGGAATACAGAGCCAGCAAAAACAAAACAAAACAACTCAACATTTTAAGATTTAAATCCAGTACAAAGATGTTAAAAATGAAGCAATTTAAAGCATGCAGAGATTCAGATAGTTGCATCAGTAGCCTTGTTTTAATATTGTACAACTCTCTCCAGTACTCTAATGCAAATGACGCCTTGTACAACTATGTTAGTGACTATGGCCGCACACACTCCTTGACCAAGATTTTTGAACGAGTAACCCTAAGAACAGACCAATTTTGGATGGTTCCAAAACTTGTCTGCTCTCCTGCAATTGTTTTTTTTTAAATAAATTTGCACAAGTCATTTATATCCCATATTTGAATTGTAAAGAACAAGCAACCTTTCATAAACTTGTGGCATCATGACAGCCTTAATTATTGAAAAAAGAAAGAAAAAAGACGAAGCTTCAATTTAATCCACAATTAACTACGAGATGATTATAGAAGGTGCATACCCTCGATTACATTGGACAGACTGTACAGTACTAACGAAAAGTTTAAGTTTAAAATAAAAAAAATCAATAATTCCCATAAATATTTTCTTACGGCCACTACAGTGTCAAAAGCACGTCTACAATAAAAAATGTAACACGTACTACAGGTCTAACACCTCTAACCCAGCACCCTGTGGTCAGGGTGACTGGCTGTCTTGGCATGAGTTCTCAAAATTCTTTGGTGAGGGTAACATCCCTGTTCAAGCTCTCAGAGTTCTTTTCTGTGTAATTATTTTTCTCGTAAATTATTCTTTAATATGGCCTCAAAGAAACTAGCATGTGATGGAGGTGATGGTAACATACACACACTAATTTTCACATCAAGTTGTACAGTACATTTCATTATAAAAGACAAACTATATTTAATACATAATTATTTTCAGTACAAACCCAACAGTAAGAAAAAGAAAAGGAAGAGAGGAGGGAGGGGAGAGGTAGGCAGCTGATAAATTTATGACCAACTTGAAGTAATGGACATATATTTATACTGTGTATCACTTATTCTATTTTGTACATTAAATTCACTATTCTGGAAGGGAAATGGTTTGCTGTACTGTATAACAACTTTTGTCACCAGGAACTGATCTTCAATTTATAACAATACTACAGTACTGTACTGTAACTGTTATTAACCAGCACTACAGTATTTCTATTTTATGTATCAGTAAAATAATTTTTTCAACAGACTTCAGCTGACTGCCTGTGTGGCTTGGAAAGTTCTATGGTTGGACACCAATCAAGTTTTGAGGGTGCTGGGTGGGGTGGTGTGGTGTGGTGTGGGTGGGGTGGTGGGGTGGGGGTTAACCTGCACACAAAACCTTAATCTTAGCTCAGTCTGTTGTTTCTAGGTATGCAAATATTGTCTTCGGAACTTGCATCATTATTGTTATGGTAAAATATCGGGAGTATTTCTGACTGTCATGGTACAGTAACTTGGAGTCTCAATAATTAATCTTAGCTCAGTCTGTTGTTTCTAGGTATGCAAATATTGTCTTCGGAACTTGCATCATTATTGTTATGGTAAAATATCGGGAGTATTTCTGACTGTCATGGTACAGTAACTTGGAGTCTCAATAAAAAGTGAATGAAACTGTCTACAAGCAAATATTTGGCATGAGCATGGGTAATTGTCTTTCTGCTCCTCTAGCCTGTATTTATATGGAGTTTTTTTAGTCTAGATTACTACCCAATATAGTGGACTTTATTCCTCCATGGTATAGATATGTAGATGATCTTCTTTGTCTTTGGCCTAGAAACAGTGACCCATTGGAATTTTTAGACAAGCTTAATGATATTGTCCCTAGTATCACATTCAAAATTGAAAGAGAAATAAATGGATCCCTTTCACTTCTTGATATGCTTATCATGAGAAATGGCCAAAACTATAAATTTAAGGTATATAGAAAGCCCACACAGGTAGACAGTTTCATTCACTTTTTATCGAATCACCTTGAGTCTACCAAAATGTCAGTTTTTTCTGCTATGTTCTTAAGATGTCTGCGTATTTGTGACTCTGAATTTATTGACGATGAATTGAAACACATTCGTTCTATTGCACAGAAACTCGGGTACCCTTCTGTGTTTGTTGATCGTTGTTTTAAAAGGGCTAAAAAATCCTTTCATTCCTCTCAAACCAGACAAGTTCCTACACTTAAGAATATTTTGACTCTGCCCTATCGTAATGAATTTGTCCCGTTAGTTCGGTCCCTCAAGCTTCTAAATATTAATGTTGTTTTCAAGTATGACTCAACCATTACCAATATGTTAATAAGAAATAGCCCAAGTTTGAATGTAAATGGAAGTGTTTATTGTATTCCATGTAGCAAATGTAATTGTAATTATGTAGGACAGACAGGAAAAACACTGCAGCTCAGAATCAAACAACATAAGTATAATATCAGAACTGCATCTGAAAGCAGTGCCTTGTTCGTTCATGTTAGGAATAATAATCACCCCATTGCTTGGGAAAAAAGCTTAGAAGTATTCAAATCATCTTGTGTCACAGAAAGACTTCTGGTTGAAGCTAGTTTGATTAAGGTATAAATCAATAAACCTTAGTGATGGTCAGTTCAAAACTGATATGTTACATAAATTTATTTGTCAGTGGCCCAAGGTTAAAAATGCTTTGAAAACCTTCGATCTAGATGTATGATAGTTATTTTGTGGGTCCCTTATTTCTGACCTGACCTGGCTAGTCACGTCACCACCCTTCTCTTAAGCTCCTCTACGTGTGTGTTGGTGTGGGGATTAGTGGATGACATCATTATGACCTGACCTCATGTTTTTAAGGTCACCCTGTATATTTAAGCCTCTCTCTGTCCATGTAATCCAGATGCCTCTGAAGATGTCTTGTATAAAGACGAAAGCTAAGGTACTCCGTTGTTTCCATTTTCCCGTGTGATTTTATCAATATATATATATATATACAGTTGGTCCTCATATTACGCGGTCCCGCATTCCGCGTTTCACCGTTAACGCGGTGCCTTGCGAGAACCTAACATTTTCACATTCCGCGGTCGTGAACCCCATTACGCGGAGAGCGGCTGGCAAGCCGCGCCATTTTTGGATCCAAACCTCCCGCCATCCGCCATGTTGTGTAAGAGGCGCGAAAATGGTGCGCACAAGGTCGCCCAGTCATCAAAACATGACCAGTTCTTCACCCGCCACCCACTACAGCCGGCCCAAGTCAGTGATAGTGATAATTATAGTGAGGATATGGACTTATATGAACTTTGGGGGGTTTGACAAAGAGGCCCTGCAAGCCTCTGTGGTGGATAGTGATACAATTGATACAAGTGATACAGGTGAGGGCCAATAATCTGCCCTCTGCCTCGGAACCAACCGCCCATCCCCGTGTGCCCAGCCATCTTTTCTACTAATGTAAGTGTTAAAAAACCTAATATTATTGATATTTCTCTTAATTATTAATTGTGTGTGCATGCCATCATAAAGTTAAGATAATATTTTTACTACAACATAGTTGTGTGTCGTCAAAAAGTGGAGTTTGGGGATCGGCCGGACTCCATTTCAATTAATCCCATATGTTATGTTATTCACTTTACGCGTTTCTCACTTTCCGCGGTACCCTCCGGGTTACATTAACCGCGTAATATGAGGACCAACTGTATATATATATATATATATATATATATATATATATATATATATATATATATATATATATATATATATATATATATATATATATATATATATATATATATACATATATATATATATATATATATATATATATACATATATATATATATATATATATATATATATATATATATATATATATATATATATATATATATATATATATATATATATATATATATATATATATATATATATATATATATATATATATATATATATATATATATATATATATATATATATATATATATATATATTTAAATTGAGCCCAGATCCTTAATCAGCATGTAAAGTAGTACCACTGTATGAAATATGGACAAAATCCATGGTATGACACTGGAAAGTGAAAACTAATGTGTCTATAGTAAAGATAGTCTATACTTTTAATAAAATGTATATAAAGGTGATTTAAAGCAAAAGGGCACAGCATAATTAACTTTTTAATACAGTATTCTAAATATCTTTAATTATTTCAAAGGTCATTAATTAACACTAATTACTGTATTTTGACACAGTATATTAAATTATCAAATTTGGAGTCTGGAAACAGAAGGTTTGTGTGTAGGGATTGAGGAAAGTTTAGCAAGTGGGTCACTATGGTATTTTTACAAATTAAATATTCAAGTGGCTTAAAAGCCCACATAACCAAAGAGAAATTATATTTATTAAAGAAAGTAAGTAAAGAAGTAAACGATAAGAAAGTAATTTCCCTTCCCTAAAAACAAGTGAGAATAGAACTTTGCTTACCTGACAATGTCCACACCACGGAGCATAAAACTTTATGAAGTGCCGGCCGTTGGGTACCAATGCCTTAAAGGTGACATCCGTGTACTCTACCAAACCTGTAAGTGCCTCTGGAACTGAAGCTTGTTCCACATCCTGTGAGAATAAAAATAAAAAACTGAATTTTCTGAACACCACAATTTATATCCAAGACACTTGGCTACTAGGAAAATAATTATTTAAGAATTTTGTAACTGGCTACCCAATAATAGACATTTATTTGTGCATCAAGTGAGAATTGATACAGGTATACACCCTAATTATGTCAGACTTTATTCCTGTGTGGTGCTGTGTTTAATATTGAATTTCAGCCACAATTCTATGTTGGTTGTTATACCCATGTACTTGTCTCACTCACTCACTGTTGTATTTCAGAGTTAAGATATTAGAAGATAAGCTAATAACCATTCTTGGTGTACTGTACAGTTTAGTTTAGTTTAGAAGTCATTGTTTGTAAATTGATAATAAGTGCTTTTAAGGTTACTGGTACTTCTTTCCTCATTTGTCCTCTCGGTATCATGATAATTTTTACTTTGGTGCTGCCATGATAATCTGACCTAATCCTTTATTTCACTAGTCCAATGTTCAACTGAGAGCATATTCACAGCAGATCTGTTTTGTTTTATATGCGATGACTTGGGGTATTTGGTATTGTTTATGTTTAAATCAGTCTCTAGACAGAATAGACTTCGAAGCAACTTCACAAATGACACTGGGCTGTAACAAGATAAAACCCCAATTTTTCAGGCCAGAGTTGATATGTTAAGTTTGATAGGGTAAATCAGTCACCCTCCACTCCCTACAATGCCCATTACTTCAAAATAGGGAGAACAAGTGTAAGAGGTCTGATTAAATAGCCATATCTGACCAATTAGACACTTCATGCCAAAAGCTATGACTCATTTATCTCGTTATAGCCAAACCACCACCTTCAAAACTGTTCCTTGCTGACAATGCCTTGAAATCCAGGAAGAAAAAAGTGTAAACATAATAAACCAGGGTTGGCCAATTTAAACTAAATGACTTAAACCAGGCATGGGCAACCCACAGCTTGTGGGCCACATGCGACCTGGACCATGGGTTTGTGAGGCCCGTGGAGTGATTGAGAAATTCTATTTAATGTGGTCCTCAGTTCAGGTAGAGGCAGCCAGTTTATGGTGTGTAAAGCAATATTTATTAATAGAATAATATTCACACACAATTCATTATTGTTTCATCACCTAAGAGTAAGTAACTAGGAAAATGTAACAAGTGAAATAAGTATATAAAGTCAACAATAAAAACATTTTAACTTGTGAGTTTACAGACCAAGTTCGGTGTGTGGTCTGTTTGATGGATTAACTGATATGTGGCAGTGGGTCACATGGGAAAATTTCTTTTCCAAGCATCATTACGACCACTAATTACCCTGCAATCGAATCATAGACCATAGATTCAGAATCAGCATGTTCAGGAGTACCTATACCTGTACTGAGATTTTCAATGAAATCTCTCTCTCTCTCTCTCTCTCTCTCTCTATATATATATATACTGTATATATATATATATATATATATATATATATATATATATATATATATATATATATATATATATATATATATATATATATATATATATATATATATATATATATATATATATATATATATATATATATATATATATATATATATATATATATATATATATATGCAAGTAAATAACTGTAGGTGCGCGTGATCCAGGTATATGCTGATAACCACAAGGAAAGAAGAAAATACGAAGTTTACATTGGCCCAAATTAGAAAATCTTGATAAAGTGTTGCACGAATGGTTTTTGTTAAAACGATCAGAAGGTATGGCAATTTCTGGGCCGATGCTTATTGCCAAAGCAAAGTCTTTTAAGGAGCAAATGAACATTGAATCAGAGTGCGCATTTAGTGATGGATGGCTTAGGAATTTCAAGACTCGTCATGGTATTAGACAGTTTGTTTACATTTTTGTCTAGTGTTGACTTTATTTTTCTTTAAAACTGCTCATTTTGATAAATGAAGCATGCTATATTTGCTAATGAATAAACTATCAAAATGTACCTGTTCATCTCTTCTTTATTCCTCCTTAAATGTTAATTTCAAAAGAACTGCCTGAGAATCCGGAAAATCCGAAAATCCGGACCGACCCAATCCCCAAGCAGTCCGGATTTTTGGACTTCTACTGTATTACATTCAGTAGGCAGGTTACCCACTTAAGGCTTAAAGTTTTTTATTAAAAATATCTCGAGTAAAACTCAAGTTACATAATGATTCTGGGAAGTAACTCTTACATTAGTTGAGGAGTGTCTGTACTCTGCTCTCTATGTTTGTCATAAGTGGGAAACAAATCCTTTCCTTCAGTCTTAGCTCTGATGTGCACCCCCCCCCAAAGGACAACTATTGCTAAGTTCAGCTTTTCAGGAAAGACTCTCCTAGAATGAATCATCTTACATAGTACTGCTTACAAGATTGTTTAAACAAGTAATCTCCCTACAATAAGAATACAACTGCCTATAGGGAAGAAAACAAACAAAGAGGTTAATTTTCTCCCAAGGAAATACAATGGGATACCCTGTACAATAAAGAAAATAGTCTTCCACATATACTGTATACCCACCAAAAAGAGTCCAGTCAGTCCTCTCTCCCATCCATGGACCCTGTGAATCATGTCTCTGTGTGTGTTGTTCCAGATTCACAGAGACATGATACACAGAATTCATGGATGGAAGAGAGGACTGACAGGACTTTTTTTTGGTGTGTGTACAAGCACTCCAATAAGTTCTTATGAAAGTTATAACAAAAATTGTCTATATAACCTTACTGGTGAACCTCTCAACTTAAATACTCTACATGTTACTGACCTGCACCTCAGTTCCCAGTTGCTCTGCGATGAATCTCTCGAGTGAAGCCAAGTCTCTAGGTCCCTTATATTTCACGCCACTCTGTACGCCTTTGCCGAAAAGTTTCAACCTAAAAACAGTACATATTTAAATTAGATTCCTGACTTAGTACAGGCAATAGTATTTTCTTATGTTAAAATGGCACAAACTATTTCATAATGACAGAACATGAACATCAGACATTGCACGACAGCCGAGGAGTAGGTTATGACACTCGGACACGAACATCAGATTTTCCAGAAATGTACTTAATTTTGCTAAATATTAAGATGACCTTATAGCTGTTAGTGTTACCAGGACTACTTTAAACTTAAGTACAGTAAAGTACCACACCCAAAAGTGCCCTCTCCTCAGGTGGTCTCATGTTGGCTGCTTTGACCATTGGCAGCAATGACATCGCTTCAATTGGGCATGGGGGGGGGGTCTTTCTCTCTCTGTGCTGAACAACATTGTTTGGCATTAGCCAAATAAAATGCAAATAGTGGTGTCCAATAATGAAGGGGTTAAACAAGCTTATGATAATACATATCTAGCAATACCAAGTTCAGAGACAAATTTGGTATAATGCCTAGGAATTTGTTTAAATAACGAAAATATGCAATAATGAGTGTGTGTGCTTTGTGTGTTTATCACGTACTTTTTTAGTGTTAAACGCTGTTTTCCCTATTGAGCGAGCCTGGAAAACCTCCACCTGCCTCCTCTGGGGCGCCTAAAAGGGCACGAAAAACAATCGCAATGGACGTGAAATTAAACGTGATCACCCGCCTTCAGAGAGGAGAGAGTGTGTCGGAGGTTGGCCTCGTGCTTGGTTTAAGTGAGAGCCCTGTTCGTACCCTGTATGGTATATGATGGTTCCCCTAACCTGTACCATTTACATGTTTTTGAATGAAGCGGTGATTTTCAAGAACGTAACCCCCACATAAAATGAGAGGTGGGTATACAGTCCTGTACTGTACAGTATACTGTACAATAATAAATAAAAAACAATAGAATACGTATTGTATTTTAACTTACTTTGAGGTGTGTATGTCGTATTCCCGGCGGTTTTGTTTACATAGCAAACAGCTGATTGTAGACACAGTCGATGATGACATGCCATATTCTTTACAGAGTGCATTGGTTCTAATGCCTTCTTCGCGTTTCATAATAATCTCTGCACTGTATATTATCGATATGTTAACTAAATTTCAGAATGACCAATAATTTGAAAGTAAAAATACAAAAATATTCAAGAGACCAACAAACTCGATGTTTACTCCACTGTAAACAAAGTTACACTGAGAAGCGTTGGTGGGTGATTCGATCAGCTGAAGGGCACACAAAACTGTTCCCTGTACTGTATATATTATCAATATGTTAACTAAATTACAGAATGACCAATAATTTTAATATAAAAAATGCAGAAATATTCAAGAGCACAACTTTCTTTACATTTACTCCACTGAAAACGAATGTAAACATAGAACCAATTACTGTATTGGCGGACTAGCCGATCAACTGATCAGCTGATGCGCACACCATAAGTGTGTTCCTCGCAAGGCTGTCGTTAATAGAACTGAAAATTCTTATGGGTGCCAATTCGTTAACCGAAATCTCATAAATTTACCCGCTCGTTAATGGAGGGACCACTGTACTGTACGTATGTACAATCCAAACTGATATACAGGAATAAAACATAAATCATTAACAAGGATTTGAAAATGGTATGAAAATCTTAAGGAGTAAAAACTTGTTTGACAAGAAGTAGATGTCTCACGTAGGATAGCCGGTGACGTCCTGGGAGGAGCAAAGAGCCGTGTGTTGAGTACAGTCCACTTTACCCACGACAACTTCAGCTTTTTCTGTGTTGTACTTCTTTCCTAGATCATCCCAAGTTGGACTCAGCCTTTTACAGTGACCACACCTGTAAACAAATTAAACCAAGAAGTATAACTTTACAAAGGTGACATTTAATCACTGTTTCAATAAATTAATCTGGTGGTGCACTGCATTTATTTAACTGCTCCGTGTGAAGGGGCTAGATCACTAGCAACTACAAAAAGAACAAGGAAATCTTCTTCTGTAACAAAATCTAAAAAATATGAAAACATACTGTACCATGTTTCAAAACAAAACATAGCTAACATCTCATTATATTTTTCTTACAATATTGGAAAAGAAATGGGTGAAGCTCACTGGCAGTTCCTTAACTGTATTTTAAAATCATCTTCTCATACACTTTTTGTTTTTCAAAATTTAACACTTTATTTGTAGAATTTAGAAAGTAACAAATTTATTTTTCTAAAAAAAAAAAATTGCATATACAGTATTGTACTGTATAGTACTGTACAATAATTATGCTGATAAGTTAATAGTTACCTGTACTCCACAATAATAAGTTACCTTACTTTTCAACCATTAACTACTGTACTCTACTGTATTACGTGAATATTCATGATAAAAGAAAAGTCAGTTGTTACTTCCAAATTACTGGTGGTATGAATCATGCGTCAAAAAAATTTAAAACAAATATCCATTAGTATTCGCCAATTTTAAATCAAAGTCAAAAAACTGTATCTGAGTATTGTCCTTGTTTTGTCCAGTGTCAGAGGCATGTGATGTAGAGGAGGTACACTATACCTCAATTTACAATGGGGTTGGATTCCTGAAAACCATACAGTAAACTGAATACGTACAGTACAGTATATTCAATAAATCAATTTGTATTTACCTACTGGTGACCAATATAGCTAAAATGGGAGATATTTTCATTAAAAAACACAAAATAGAATAACAGTACTGTAATACAACTTCAATACTGTGCTGTATTTGCATGCAAAAATATTGACAACGCTCAGGTGACCACCATGTATATCCAGCATGTGGTTCAAGAAGCTCAGAACAGGGAGATATAAATGTTTCAGTAGTTTATAACTTTCGAGGGCACTATGTCCGAAAGTAAAATAATACCGAGTTAATCTATAGGAAAGGGATAGGATAGGTTATGTTACGTTAGGTGAGGCTAGCACATGACCTCAGCCTTTTTAAATTTTTTTCCCAAGATAATAGTGTTACATCACTCTATCCTCCTGTATCTCTTGCTTAAGGTAAGTTTCTTACACACACTGGTTAGGGTTAAGTAGGGGAGGATAGGTTAGGTTAGGTTAAGTTTGGTAGGTTAGGTTTTATTTTTTAGTTATTTATTTATTGTTTTTATGTTTTTTGACCTTCCACTTTTTCAATATCTCAACTACAGCTCATTTCCAACGGCACTGAAGGTCTTGTTTGTATGTAACACGATGATTTACACTATAAAAACCCATTTTCAAAAGTCAATTAGGTGTTGGCAACTACTAAATATTTACAATGTTGTGTTGTCAAAGTAAGAGAAACAATTGAGACCCTGAAATTGTGTGTAAATGAGGCAGAAAGTCAGATCAGCAACCTGGGACTTGGTCTACCATTAAACAACACATTAAGCTGCCAATATCTTCCCAGACGGTAGTACCTCCCTGTTTGGTGGCTGCCTACTACCTAACGGCATATATTATAACCCTATCAAAATGAAAATTAATCACATCATATCTAAAATACACGACAATATTAGGTTATACTCACCATGGTGCGAAGAACATAACAAAGTTGGGTTTCCCTTGTACAGAATCCTCAAATGTTTCAGCAGTTAAGGTGACAGTGTTGGCTCCATGCTCGTCTGATGCAGCCCCTACTGCTGTTAAACTAGTAGTGATGGCGAGGAACAAATAATTCATATTCACTAGTTGTGGGAGGAAATGAATTGTTACTTACAACCTCCACTATAAAGCACCAACGTGTTCAATGATTCATAAGACAAACAGTTGCTGCTGACCCGGACCTACTCAGGGAAACAGTAATACAGGAACTCTCACTCACGAGGTGTTGTGGTCAAGGAATATATAATAAGGGCGTATCGTTCTCCCATAAAGGCACGACTCCTTGGTGATGATGATCGACAACACAGAAAATGTTTACTTATTATTTGTCAGGGTAACTTTATTATTCCCGCCCCATACTGAGCAGTCCAGTTTACACCTAACCCCTATTGCTCATATATGCATCCAACCTATGTTTGAAGCTACCCAGCGTATTCGAGTTAATGATGATGTTTGGTAACTTGTTCCATTCATCCACTACTCTATTTCCAAACGAATGTTCATCTATTTCGCGCCGAAATCTAAATTTGTCTAATTTAAAACCATTGTTACGAGTTCGCTCCTGGTTGGATAGTTTGAGTACCTTTATAATGCCACCTTTGTTCATCGCTAACTTCCATTTATACACCTCTATCAGGTCGCCCCTCACTCTACGTCTCTCGAGGGAGTGCAAATTAAGATGCTTTAACCTGTCTCTATACTCAAAGTTCCTAATGTCCGGGATTAGTCTTGTCATTCTCCTCGGAATTCTTTCTCGGGATTCTATAACCATTCTGTAATACGGTGACCAGAACCTGGTATCTGGTTTCTCTGTTAACATCTTCTAGACTAAGCGAGTGTTAACTTAATGTTATTATGTTAGCACACCTAAATTGTTGTGGGGATGGGGATCATTTAAAATATTGCAATATAATTTATCGGAAAAATCAAGTTCAAATAACTGACAACCGACTTATGAAGGTCAGTTTTGTATTAGCAAAGGATTTTCTGTAAGGTAAATATTACCACAATGAGTACCCAATTAATTTTGGGTTGAAGTATCAGACCTTTTTATTATTTGCCATTAATAAGTGGTGTTTATTATTAAGGAACTCGGATATTTAATTCATCATTCCTACAAGGGCTTCAGATGGAGGAAACCGGAGTATTGTACCCCGAGAAATAATAATAATAATAATAATAATAATAATAAATCCAGCGATATTTGGTTGAGTCCCTCAGTTAACATCCCTCTCACATCAAACCCGGGGACTGAACCTACTATAGTGTATGACCACAGTGATTAATTATTATTTTGTTATCATATTCGCCACTTATCAGCTTACTAGCCGTTTGGGCGGTTTATCCAGTGTTAGTACAGGAAGGAACCGGTGACCGGGAAGCCTGTGGTGTTTGGTAGAGCCACACTGGATAACACCCTTCTCACGTGTGTCCCAGCCGAGGCTCGAACCCTTTGACATATTGGTGAGAGTTATGGGCATTACCGTAAATAACGGGTTATGCAATCTATTTGAAGTAAAGTATTAGAAAACGATGTCTCTGTTAAGTGCGATATATAAAATTTCTGGAGGGTTTTTGGTGTACAGTATATCAATCATCATATTGTACTAAATACTTTCCTATCTCTTACTGCCATCTAGTTTTAGGGTTTAGCACCACTTTTGAAGAAAATGGTAACTGTAAACTTGGGATGACAGCGTAGTAGTGCACGTTCTTTATATAATTCTCATTGGTTTGTTTGTGATAGTCCAAACTGATTATATAAGCAACTTCTAAATATAATTTGAGAAGCAAGTACAAACGTAAACTCATCTAATATGTTTCAAATTATTGCCACCATAAAAATATAATGTTGAAATGAATATGAATAGTGGTTTTGAAATTAGATATATGTGTTTCTATGCTGCATGAAGTTGAAGTCAAAGCCTTACAGAGTATGAGACAATACAACACGCCTCCAGAGGGAGCATCAAGTTCCGCGCTGCACCACGGCCATCAGCTGAGGCCACGGCCAACACATATGAAGAGGAAATACTACACCTGTGTCATAGTTGCGAAATGTTAGTGTATAAAACGTATTCGTTGTTGTAACAAAAAATAAAAGAAATATTTCATTCTCAAATAGAAGCAGTTTCTATAATACATAACAAAGAATAAACTTTCTTGAGCTCTTCTCGAATTAAATCGACTACTGATACTTTATTACGATTTTTTTTCCATTATCTATGTCTGTCTATCATGTATCATTAAATTTATAGTTTACAATTGCATTGAAGGTACACGTAATACACGCTCAGTAAAATTAATTGTTTATAGGTTACAAGATTTATCATAACAATGAGAGTTAAAGGACTTTGCATTAGCAATTATTTTTTAATGAAAATGTATACAGTAATAGCATATCTTCTTAGTCTAGTATGACTGTAGGCTATGTTGTGGCTGTCATTATCTTTATTTCTTTTCGTGTTTTCTCATTCATTAATTCATTCTCAGTAATCCCCGCACCCCCCCCCCCCCTTCATTGATTCTCTCCAATCTATGTTTATATATCTTTTTGTTTGTAATTTTTATATCTATCTATCTATCTATCTATCTATCTATCTATCTTTCCGTTCGTTATCTTTCTGTATATCTATATATGCCTATTTGTGCTGTGTTGAATCCCTTATGACCGTCTCCCATTTCCCCTCTTATCAATCATCTCTCTCTCCTCCTTTTTCTTCTCACAGTTTTCTCAAGACTCTATCCCTTTCTATTCTATCATCCTTTTCCCTACTATACCCCTATCCTTTCCTCCTCTTCCTTCCCCCCTTCTTCTCTCCCTGTCCCGTTGCCTCCCTTCCCTTCATCCACCCCGTTTCTCTCATTTCTTTTCCTCATCTCTCCTCCCTCTCCACCCCCTCTCGTGGTATCTAGTGTTCACCGCGCCAGCTAAAATCTTCACCACTTTAGGTCCAGTTTCAGAATGCTTCGCTCGATGGATGTTCTTCGTAACGGAGGATGTAAAAGTGTACGTAACTGGATAAGGGACGGGCTATTGACGTATGTGAACGCCCATAATACCTGACCTGGTATGGGGACATGGGGATAGGTGGTTAGGTCAGGTGATATCGTATTGGATAATTATAAGGTTTTTGTAGTGATGAATGCAAGCCACTATCTGCAACTCCGTTGAGGATGGCGACAATTGTCGCCGAGACTATTTGGATTAAATATTACGTCTACCATTGTGGGCTTTTCTCTTCAAATAATTCATATTTACTTTGGAAGGAAGTTTATCCTGAGGAACAAGCCAACAGGAAGATCAATACTTATGAGTTATACACCAAGTTACCAATCGAGTTTAAGGGATCTAATTCAACTGAAATATATTTTTGAATTGATTATATGATCATATCAGGACACAATTGTGCGGCAGACAAGTGGATAATGCTCTCTTCTGACTCTCCTGTTCCAGGGATCAATGGTTCGATTCCCAGGCGTGTCCAGTTCACCCAGCTGTCAGGGGCGGGTCCAAGAATTTCACACGAGGGGTTCAAGAATTTGTGGCGGGGGGGTGGGGGATTAAATAGCGAGCAGAGCGAGCCCACCGAGCATTTGGGGGGGGCTGTAACCCCCTAGAATATATTTTGAAATCTGACCAGTATCATAGGCAATTTGAGGCTATTTGAAGCCACGTGCAATTGATATTGGGAGATATTCTGAGATCAATAGTAATTACGTTTTACTTTACAAAAATGCCTGAATACAATATTGGCTTAAAGAAAAAGTATTGGGATTTTCGGATGAATAGGAGGAGTCCGTACCCCCCAGGACCCCATGGATCCACCCCTGGGTGTAAATGGAAACCTATGTTTACAACTGGAGAAGTGAAGGTGGTAGAGATCAGTACCGGCCATGCTGCCTCCTTGTGCACCAATGGCTTAGTATACAGTGTGCTCGGACCCACTTTCACTTTTATCAGGACACGAAATAAATCTACGGGAATACCACTGGGATGGTAACGTAAGGTTTACAAATGGCATTTGACACAATGACCGATTACTTTAGTTACCCCTTTCATAATTATAAATATGAGTCCTAGAAAATAATCTACTCCAGATTAATTTTGTCAAAGAAAATCTATATTTGAAGGGGAACTAGTGCAAATTTGAGGCCGAAGGAACTTGCTATTGGAAACACTGGGCATGAACTGGCTCTGTTGTGAGAAAAAGGTGAATCAAGCAAATAAATTATTAGGTCTTATAAAAAGGTCGTTCAGATACCGAGACGGTACGTCCTTCGTAACGGTCTTCAAGAATGAAGTGCTTCCCCGTCTGGAGTACTGTCACCCCGTCTGGTTCCCGAGATATACTAGGGACTGTCAGTTGATTGGAAATGTTCAAAGGAGGGCCACCAGACTGGTGCCTGCACTTTGGCACCTTTGCTACCCAGAGGGATTTGAGCGCCTGCAATTGCCTAGCTTATACTAGTGCAATGTTATAATAATGATGTTAGTATTGTGTTGCGTTTAGTGATGATGTGTACTAGCACTACCATACTACCACTACTACTACTGCTACTACTATCACTACCACACTACTACTAACACTACGATTCTTCTACTACCACTACTACTAACACTACCACACTACCACCGCTACTAGCACTACCACTACCACTACCACACTACAGTGTACTACTAACACTACGATTCTTCTACTACCACTACTACTAACACTATCACACTACCACTACTACTAGCACTACCACTACCACACTACAGTGTACTACTAACACTACGATTCTTCTACTACCACTACGATTCTTCTACTACCACTACTAATAACACTACCACACTACTACTACTACTACTACTACTATCACTACCACACTACCAATACTACTAGCACTACCACTACCACACTACAGTGTACTACTAACACTACGACACTCCTACTACCACACTACTACTACTACTACTACTACTACTACTATCACTACCACACCACTACTACTAACCTTTGGCACGAGATACGCCATATTTATCCTATCTACTCTAGTGTAGATTAGCGAATGTATAATAATAATAATGGTTGCCCCTCGCTGTAGGATGGCCGGCCCAAGGGCCACACCCTAAGTTAACGAGTTGTATGACTCACTGTCAAGGAATAGTCCGAGAAGACCGGAGAACTCGCCAACTGCACTGGCTAACCATTACCCCGGAAC